CATACACTACTATCCTCTTTTTACATCTTTTTGATGCATTCAGTGCTGTGCTAAATTTCAAGAGGTTGGTAATGTTGCTTTTCATACAAAACTGTTTATAGTCTTAATATAGGCTGTGTGTTAGTTTCTGAACTACCTTTTTATTTCTGCTTTGAATATTTCAGAACAAATTTTAATTAGCATAGCTTTTAAATGTAAATTTCAGGCTTCACACGCTTGCCTGTTACATTCCAGGTAGTCAGTGGAAATCAGCTTTGTTCTTTGTAGAACAGTGCACGTTAATTTTGCTTGTGTTAGATCCTTAATTTAAATCACTTCTCTCTTCTGTCATCCAGAAGCATGCAGTCCAGGGTCTCTTGGCTGATGAAACCAAGTGGTTGATGTTAGTTTGGCAAGCTGATATCCTGCCAGTAAATTGGTAGGCTACCCTTTTTTCTCCTTCTTTCTTCCTTTCCACTTTTGGCTTTTTTTTTATCCTTCTTTTCCTTTTGGTTGCCATTCTTCTGCATTTACTTTTGCTGAGTGTTCAAGTATGTGTATCACTTTCATTACAAGTAGTGAAAACTGTACCAGTCAGGCTACAGTTAGCAAGCTCTTGTAATATTGCTAATAATCCTAAAAAGCGCTGTATGCAACAGCAAAATTGCCTTTGTGATGGTGGAAGAACATACAGAAAAGTGGGAGATCTTTCAATTTGCTGTGAATGGTTTCAGCTGCCTTCATACTGCCAAGACTTTCCCCAAGGAGTCTGGGGATCACCTTGCTTTTTGCTGCTGGGAATGGAATCCAGCATGTGGGTGGTAACTGGGTGAAATGGAAGAGCTCCTGGAAGCTGCAGGCAAAGCAGAAGGTTTATCAATAATTAATATCTTCTGCTTCCTATGTGGTTTGGTTTCCATTCCCATGCCAGGCAGTGCTAACACAGCATACCTGTTTGAGTGACAACCAGAAAGTAGGGGAGGGAAATGACACAGGGTGAAAATCAAGTATGAAAGGGTATCTCTAGCCCAGCCAAATCCAGGCCCAGGTGTTGAAATCAGAAGTTTTGAAATACTCCTTTTATCAGCTATGAAATAGATGATGTGATCACCATGTTGCTTAACTTAAGCAACTTAACTGTTGCTTTTAATCTAAAGCAATTCCTAGCCAAAGCCTGGACCTAGAGATCACTCCTAAGATAGGTGTTTCCTCTGTACCCTCAGAGCACATCAAGTAATGCGGGAGCTACAGGGCAAAGGCTATTACTGCTTTCTATCTTTGGCATCACATGTTTGCTGATCCAGTGCTATGAGCATTAGTTTCCAGGGTATTATTTAAAATGGTTTTCTGAAATAGTAGATGGAGTATCTGTCAATGAAACAGAGTACGTTTCCTTGTAGGAACTACAGGATCAGGTGTGAAAGAGTAATCATTGGAAGTGGGTCATCTTTCCTTTTTCTTTTGGCTGTTAAGCTAAGTAGCTTGCATGGTTGCAGTGGAAAGGAGGTGATCAACATAAATTTCATGTCTGTTTTTTTAAAATTCTGACACCTGTAGATTTTAGTGTTTTATGAGAGAGCACAAAGATTCCAGAGCTGAAGGATGCCAGCTGTTTTCTGGCAATTGAACTTACAGAGGAAAGGCAGCATAAAGAGTGCAGAAATAGTATATTTTTGTTTGTTAGCATGGGAAGAATAAAATTTCAGAAGTGCAAGTTGAAAGGTATCATCTTTAACTTTTGTGCATGCTTGTTTTTTTGTATTTTGTATTTTCAAAATTCCTGTTACAAAACAGGAGGAAAAAGAGGAGGTGCCTTTTTTATTTAAAAAAGAAAAAAAAAGCGCCACATCTTTCAGGTACCTATGCCTTTAAAAACTTGAAAGTGAATTTAACTTGCTATTCGTTTAATAGTATTTCTTCAAGTTGCCAGTAAAAAAGTCTCAGTCTGACAGTCTGTGTTCTTATTACTGTGAAGAGATTAATGAACTTTAGCGCTGAAATACAAAAATAGTTAAATCTACTTTGAGCTAAGCTAGTAAGCTCTTTGAGACGTGAACAGTATTTGTATCATGTATAGAAGGGCTGATTTTGGCTTCAGACTCTGGTGATACAGACCGCCAGGAATAAGCAAAATGAGAGAATCGGAACTAAAGTTCCCATTTGTGCATGTAGAAGTCGGTGATGGCATTACAAAAATATTCACTATAGCAAATGATAGACTTACGCCTTTCAGCAAATAATCACGCATGCTCCATACTTCTCGCCAGCACATTATTGTTAAAGCTGGACTAAAGGCCAGGAGTTGCAGCGGTAGTGGCTGGTGGTGGTTATGGGTATGTCTCTGTGCTTCATTTTGGACAGGTGTGCTTGCTTCCCTTGTGCTTCGGCTGTGTTAACATGGCACTAAGCTGCTGCTGACAGATTGTACTTGTTAGCATGGATGTGGCACAGCAGGAGCACAGTCACGTGGCTTTTCGCCATTTCAGAGCGGGGAGGGAGCGAACAGAGGTCATCTTGGACTGCCACACATAGAAGTGGTGGTGTGCCTCAGTGCATTGCTTCTGCATCAGAGGAAGCGTCCTGAAGAAAAACATCCTGACAGCAGTTTCGATCTTGCTCCTGCTTAGTGCCACACTTGACAAAAGCATTAAGCTGGTCAGCTGCGGAGGCATTCCTTGCTAATATAAACACAAAATAAGCAGGATTAAACTGAGAGTTAAAAATGGATTTGCTGATGCTAAGATAGCTCTGGAGCAGTATTCCTAACTCTAAAGCGTGAGGTAAATGGAAACTATATCATGAGTGTCTTAGCAGAGCTAAGGAGTTACTTTCATTGCAAATTGGCTAGGATCATCTCCATCTATAGAGTATGTTTAGGACTTTTAGAAAGCTTCCATTATAAATCATCACAGTTTGTACCTCTGTGATTGCATGAACAGGGTGGTGTCCTTGTCCGTTTTGTCACCTGTGAATCATGCCTTTCACAGCACACCAAGAATGAGACTTTGGACAAGTTGAATCATAATATAAAGCAATATCCAAATACTCCAAAACATACAGACTTTTTACAGCTGCAGCTCTTCTTGAGGTTCTTGGGGAGCTAAAGCAGAAGAACAGTAACCCTGTATTTTTCCTGATTAGATTCCTCAGAAGATGAGAGTTGAACATAGGATGTTATGTGCTAGTGCATATAGTACTGTGAGAAACAGGATCATGGCACTAAAAGAACTGAAAAATACTCCACATCCTCCCTCCCCCCCCCTGCCACCTACCCAGTTCTCTGGTTGTGTCTACAACACAGCCCCAAGAGTGGCTGTAGAGGAAGAACTGGAATGAAACAGGGAAGAACTGCTTTGTTTGGCATTGCCATTGAGTAAACACCTGTGAACATCACATAAATGTCTCTATTTGTCAGTAGGTGCTCTGAATAGAGGAAGTGATAGTAGTTTGTTAATCTTGAAGGAAAAGCTATGAGTGATTAAGGTTCGGGGAAGTCAGCTTCCTTCATAATGTTTAAATAATCTCATCCAGCCTTTTCTATGTAAACCAGACATTTTTTGGTCTTGTTTTTGTAGGATGACAGGTGAAAACACAAGATATTTAGTTTCGTTTTCAGATCTGGAATCATGTGCTGGAATTCGCCTTGCCAAGTGAGAAAAGAAATTCCTAAAGGCTTGTTTTTATTTACTACTGATATGCATAATTTGGATCGTGGAATAAGGTTACTTTGGCAAAGTCAGATCCAAAGGATTTGAATGTCTGTCCTAAAAAGGATGAGCAGCAATTCTATACCAATGTATTGTCAAATTCAAGTGCAATAAAATTGCACTTGATTTGAGTTTTCTGCACAAACTGCAAATGATATAGGTTGTCAAAATGTTCTCCTGGCTTTTGTTCCTTCTGAGCGAATCTATGTGAACAACTGTTTTCTTGCTTTTTTTTTGTGAAAATTGATTCATGCTTGTCCTGCTCACATTCTATAACTAATGGTCCTGTTGAATTTTAGATAGGTTGTGCTACCCAGAGGTCCATCCCTTTCCTTATTTTTCTCCAAAGTTTCAAGAAAATCTAATTTTTCCTGAGTGCTTAGAGATCACATCTCTCTTGCATGTTGATAAACTCACCAGGTTCAATTTGGGATGCTATAGTGAAGTGCTTTCCTATTATCAAGATAACAAAGGCATCATTGTGAAAGATGAGATGATAAAATGCACAGCTCAGTTCGTACACCTGTGATGGTATTTGCACTCTGTGCTTCTCCTCATCTGTCTGTCTCCGTCAAACATATTCTGTCACTATGAATTTCTGAACAATTGCAGAGACATTGTTGGGGGAAAAAAACCCCAAGCCTCAAAAAGCAACAAAAAAGAATAAACAAAGCAATTTCAGACTTTCTACCTCCCAGTGTGGAATGTCATGCCTGGAAACCCACATGGGCAAAACCCCAGATCCACATCTGAGTCTCAGTTCCAGTAGGGGTTAATGGTGGAGGTTCTAGTGTGAGAGTCCTGCAAGCCTGTGTAGCATGAAGACTTCGTGACTTACATGACTTTTCTTTTAAAAGGTGACTAAAAAATGTGCTATGGCTCATGCACCTGAAATAGTCAAAATAGAGCTGGAAAACTGATCCCTCAGGGAGTGTTTTTTATGAATCACTGAAAAGGAAAGCAATGAAACTGTGTAAACAATCAGTGACAGTTATGATTCATAGCTTCTGATTAAAGCAGTGGAGGACATGTTCTGCAACAGTATGCAGGCAGCAGCTTTGATATGGAAATGCAAAAATATTACAAAGCATATTCCTAAAAGCAATTTTCAGGCAGGTTTTAAACTCCAAAGTGATTCAGAGTATGGTTACCTCTGAGGTTATTTTAATTATCCAAGGAGATACGGTTTTGTGGATTGTTATTTTGTGGGGCTCTTTCTTGTTTTCAGAAGTTAAGCTTTTTTCCTTTCCTTCAGAGCTCAGTGGTTCTATAAATGTGACTGTTTTCCCTTTCTGTTATTTTTCAGGGAAGCACTATATTTGCTGCCTCTTACCATTATTGGAGTAGAAGCTGAGAAGCAGAAAACATGTTGGAAACAATTGGTAATCTTTTTTTTTATTTGTATCACTATATTTTTGTGGCCAAATCAAGTGTGCATGGTAGATTTAGAACATTGATATATACTACTGAGAGAGGTTTTGTAAAAAATAACAGCTGTGCTTAGAAATGCCTGATGTATTTGGGGTTTTGTATTTTTTATTTGAAAACAAAAGGTATAGCATCATTTTTTTAGTATTTAATTTTTATCTTGTTGTCTTGATTTCATTGTTTTAATCTTTACTACAATTTAAAAAAAGTTTATGTGAAAAACAAATGTTTTCTATTATGGCTACTTTTGTCACTACTTATTTACAGTGATCTGTAGCCACAGTTCCTGTAACTGAATTTTAATAAAAGCTGTTTCACTTTTGTAACCCAGTTCTTGATGGACAGAAATGTAATTTTTGCTGGCTTCTGTTTTGTGCTCTGCCTCTGACTTCATGATTTGTTAGACATGTTTGGTCTAGGGGTTTTTTTTCAGAACTGAACCATTAGAGTCCTCTGTAGTTTGAGCAGTAGAGAGGGATGTATTTAAACTTGTTATCTGCTTGTGTGTGGCTGTTTCTAAACTGCTGCTGACTTGGAATGGTTATCACTACAGATACACATCGGGCCCTCCAGGCCATGGAGCGCTTACAGGCGAAGCTTCGGGATCGAGGTGACATTGCAAATGAGGAGAAACTGAGCTTATTAAAATCAGTGCTGCAGAGTCCTCTCTTTAATCAAATTCTCAACCTTCAGACTTCTGTTCAACAACTGAGAGATCAGGTAGGAAAAGGAGCCTCCTGGGCGCAAGAGAAAATTTGCTAAGAATGCAAAAATGTGTGTGTCTTTGCATATTGAATAGTGAAATCAAATAGTCTAAGTTAAATGTCTGATTCAAAGCTTCAGTGAACTGAGGAGGACATACCCATTGACTTTCTGGGCTTTGTTGAGGCCCGTAGTTTGTATATGTGTTTTTTTATGTTTGTGCTTGTTACTTATGATGTTAATGGTAGAATGATACTGGGTGGAGAGTTAACATGAGGTTTTCTGTCTCTGTCCTTCAAAAGGAACATGTTCCATATGAGTTCTTAAGATTTTTTTTCCTGGAAGCCTTTTATTTCTCTCTTGTCTCACCCTGCTAAAATGAGAATAGGTAAGAAAAGCTGTGGAATGTTGACTTGAATGTTAGGAAATGAAAATCTTTTTTTTTTTTTTTTTTTTTTTTTTTCTTTAGTAGAAATAAAAGATCAAAGAGAAGGGAAAGCTCCTACCTCCTTTTACCTTGCTCAGAGTTTTAAGTAGAAGTATTACTTTTCTGCATGTCTTCGGGTGAGGATGAGAAAAGGGGCAGCAAATCAGCTATATTGACTTGGTTATTTATTACTATAACAATTTCCTTGTCAGCAGAATAAGAACTTGAATATAAAAAAAAGCTCAATAACTGAATTAGGACTAAACTGTATATCTGGCTTTGCAAATAGTTGTTCTGTTGAATCCTGCAAGGTGAGCAGCTCTGTGGCTGGTATGCAGAAATGCTGAAGTGGGAGAATGCAGCCCTTGCTCACTGGCTTATCGTCAGTGTGGAGCTGCATCTGGTCTCCAACCAGACTGTGGCTGGTGAGGAGTCTTCATGATCTTGATGCTGCTGCAGCTGTATGGCAGAAGAGCAGAGTCTGGTACAATTTGCTTGTACCAGATTGCTTCTTGTAGATTATCTGGATACTGTTGTGCACAACCAGAAAGTAAGTTAGAATGGTGTTTACAGTGCTATACCTGACCATGTTTTTCAATTTTACATGTTTGGTATGTAGAGACTTTGTAGGGAAAAAAAGCTATTCTAAGTGTTTGTTTGCTGTGCTGTTTGAAAAGGAAAATTTAACAGTGACACCCAGAAATTATGTTGTGATGACTCTGGGAACATGCAGTAAGAAATGAAAGTGTGCCTGAAGCATTAATGGGAATTTGGTGAAAAGGCAAATTAAATTTTCACTTCCAGATATTAGATGTGAAGTTAGAGGATGCGGAAAAAAAGCTATTCTAAGTGTTTGTTTGCTGTGCTGTTTGAAAAGGAAAATTTAACAGTGACACCCAGAAATTATGTTGTGATGACTCTGGGAACATGCAGTAAGAAATGAAAGTGTGCCTGAAGCATTAATGGGAATTTGGTGAAAAGGCAAATTAAATTTTCACTTCCAGATATTAGATGTGAAGTTAGAGGATGCTTCTCTTTTTAAATACAGTCACCTAAATTGGTAGAATAAAACAGCTGATACTACAGATGGGTTATTTCAGATGTGTATTTTTTTAAAAGTAAGTAATAATTTTACCTTCCCCCCTAACCCTGCAGGTTTATCTCTACAGTAACTTCAGTTGCTTTTGTGTGTTGCATGGTACATATCCGGTCTAGTTGACAAGGGAGCTACTTGAACATGAATTGTCTTCTTGATATGTGCTTATATTAACACTTGCACATGCAAATGTATATTTCTCTGTATTCTTAGATGTGAGTCAGCTCTTCAGAAAGTATCCTTTATTGTCTCTATAGCATCCTGTCTTCCCAACAATACAACATGAGAGTGTCTATCTCTTCTTCATTTTATTTAAACTTTTATAAAGCATATTGAAACAGGACAAAGAGTAAAATAATGAAATAGGCAGTCATGTTAAAAAAAAAAAAAAAATACTGGCATTTTCAAAGGCTCAGTTTTGTTCAAGGTTACCCCTTAGTTTTCTTTTTATGGCTGGGAAGGCACTGTGCTTTTGAAACTCTTAAACTACAAGTTGGTGAAAACTGCAAGGGAGGTGAATAGTGACCAGGCTTTTTGGCCAAGCTGTGCCAGAGTGAAGAAGGAGACAAGTTCTTTCCGAAGCACTTGCAGTCAGAGCTGTGTTTGAGGCAGGATGACAAGTGGTACTGAGCTGTGCAGTGGCTAGGTGTTGCAGTCTCTTTCCCCTCGAGACTAAGATGGCTAAATTTTTTTGATGTTTCACTGTGATCTGCACTGAAAGTTGAACAGGGGGTCTGTTTCTTCTCAAGGTGAAGTGTAAGTGACAGCCTGTTAAGCTGCTCACATGTTTTTAATTAGTTTATGAATTTTTAAGGAGCTACAAGACCATTGCAAAATTCTCAGGAGGAGGCCATCTTTTAGGAAAGTACAGTTTGAAAGAGAGGACGGAGCGAAGAAGAAACAATGGCAATTTACTTTCTAAGTCAAACTGATTCCTTGCAAGCACTTCAGCAGAAGTAGGTCGCTAAGTGAGACCTACTTGTGGGCCTATAGTGGCCTCAATAAAATTGAGCGTAGGACGTTTTCCTGTCTTGAGGCACTATGTCTGGAAGGCATTGATGGTAGTGAGAGCCTGTTTGTGCTGTGAGTCTGGAAAATGAGCTGGCAAATCTTATAAACATCTGTTTTATTTTCCTAGTGAAAGAAAATGGAGGCAAATATACTGTTTTAGCAGATAAATACTGCTTGCATTCCAGTGAATGGTCTAGTAGACTTCATTTTATTTTTTTTCCTACAGATAAGTGACCTTTTAAGCACTAAAAGAAGATCTGAAAAAGTGTGTGTTCATGCATGGAGATGACTATTACAGATGTGTCCCTTTTCTATACCACTTGTGTGTTAATTGGAAATTGATCCCCTTCATTGCTGATGTGGGCTTAACAAGAGCCTCTTGAGTTTGCATTTGTGTTACTTGCAGTGGTGTGGACTGAGCAGTATGTTGCTTCATCTGGATGTTGGTGAGGCATGCTGATGTTTTGGTGCTTATTGGTAGGTGCTTTAAAGTTTGTTTTTTTTTCTTACAGGAGCAAGCAGGATTTGCACTGCAAGTCTGTTGTTTCAGAGTTAAGAACTGGAGGAAGAAAAGTAGGGACAGCAATGGTATTTTTTTTGAGAATTACTATCCTGACTTCACTGATGATTTGAGTTGAGGAGGTCTGAAGGAGGCAGGTTTCTTTCTGCCTTTTCATATCCTTATTCTTCAGTGAATGCTTGTTTTCTCATACTCAAGAGCAGTCTTGTTGTTTGAAGATAAGGGAGTGATATAAAAGAAGAAGAGATTGTGGTGTTTTGAACTTTTCAGTAATATTTTCTTTTCTTTCTAAAATATTTTAAAGAAAATAGACTGTGCTGGTAGTCCTCTCCCACTTCTCTTCCTTTTTATTTCTCCCCTTTCTTCGTCCTCCTCCCCTCCTCCTCCTCCTCCCGCCTCCATTCCTCTGGGGGCTCTTTGAGGACAAAATATGCTTCCCTTGCCTGGGCTGCATTCCTCAGATTTTTTTTTTTGTTTGTGAGTTTGACTATAGTTTTTTGTTCACAGTGCAGCAGTGCTGAAGCGTACCCCGTGCAGCACAGCATGTACTGGGTTGTACAGGATAGATGGGTGTCAGCACTAGAGTAGATTTAGGGAAGAAGTGAAGAAACTGCATCTTTTCATATTTCCTGTGAAGTCACTTAACTCTGTGGTTTGTACAACTAGAGGAGCCTTTTAGTTACTATCCTGAACCCCTTTCTGCAGCAGTGCCCTTTGGTCTGTGTTTTGAAACAAAATGCTTAGAAGAAATGCTAATTTGGGATCTCCTTCCCTGGCTCCGAGGAGAGAGATGTAAGGAGCAGCCAGCAGGGCGGTGCTGGAGCCAGTGACAGTGACAGTGCCTGCTCCTGGGGGGCCCAGGGGGCTTTCGCTGGGGCATGGGCGGCGTGTCTGCAGGGAGTGCCGGCTGGCCGGGGCAGAGCAGGGTGCCTGGCAGCGCTCTCCTTGATGGGCTTGCAGGGTGACTGGCTTGCTCTTTGTCCTTGACAGTGTGGTTGCTGTTGCAGATGACCCTTTTGCGGCTCAAAATGTTTGCGGTTAGTTGAAGTACTGCCCCGTGCTGCTTGGGGTCTCCAAGGGCCGAGCCTCAATGGCTGGAGTGCAGAAACATCGAGAATTTGTTCTTCTCCAATTTGAGACCTAGCAATGCTGATTACATTGTGTTAAATGTTAATACACTGCAGATGTGGCTTGGATAGCTCCTTTTTTGTTAAAAAAAGTACTTTGAACACCTGGATGTAAGTACAATTTGACTGCATTTAATGTCTCTCTATGCAGCTATAATGGAAATTTTATCATGCTCGCTGGTATTTGTGGATTTTTCTTTTTGTCCACATTGCAGTAAGGAGAAAGCCAATCAAGGAAAATTAGCATAAGGCAAATTATAAAACAAAGCAGTATTCTTTCATATGGTACTTACACAATCACAGTGCTGTAAAGTTACGTCTTGATGGAATTATGGTGATTTTCTTACTACAAAGCAGTGCATTTTAGATGTTATGAAAAATATTTCATGCAACCCCAAGGACATAATCTTTCTAAGATTTCCCCTTCTGGGTTATTGCTCCCCCTGGAATGACCTGTACTTCTGTTTTTAGCAAGAATGTACACCCGTTCTCCTAAACTTTTATGTGCTACAAGCCTATATTTCAGGGAGAACAGGGAAGAGAGTGGTCATCGCATTTCTTCTTGTAATTTGTCTGGAGTGTCTGAATTTCTACCTTTAGGATTGTTATAAATGTCATTATAAACCACAAATATTTTTAAATTGTGTGTGTCCATGTTTCAGGAGAGCAAAACATTCTGAGCAGACACACACACCAGACTTTCTTAATAGTCTGATATTTTTCTTGGAGTTGCATTTTTTTCTTAGAGTTTCACCAGTCAGAAGCTACTTTATGTGAGGTAGGCTTTCTGCGTTGTCCTGGTTTTTAGTAGGCACATCCTCCATTGAATATGTAGCTGTGTTTGCCTAAAAAAGGGGTGATGAAAATGAGGTGTTGCTATTAGTTGTTACTGAAGAGGTGGTGTTTGATACTGTGTTGTAGCTGTGCTATAATCACAGTCATACTGAAGATCTGAGGTGAAGCTTTTAAAAGTTGTAGTTGAACTGATGTGGATTGGAGGGTTATTTTTGCCTTTTCCTGTTATATATAGTGTGCAGCACTTCTTTTCAGTGGTGTTTCAGCCATCATGCAAATAAAAACCATGGAGCTAATAATTAGTTGTGGAAAATGTCTTCGAAAAGCATGGACAACTTCCATCTTCTGGTTTGTAAGGCAGAAGGAATGCGAGAGGTCAGTCAATTCCTCTATGTTTGCAGTGATGTCCCAGCTCATAGAAGTATGCAGAAGGGATGGAATGTCAGCCTGAGGAGTTGGGCACTGTATTGCCAGTTTGGAAAGGATTTGATATATGAAAATATACAATGTAAAATGATAATACGAATCGGCCTGTTGCTACTTCTATTTTAGCATGAGAAAGTGTGAGTTTTCTACTAGAGAGGAAAATGTAAATCCCTAAGGACACTGTATCTTAATTGAAGAACTCCTTCAAACTTACCTAGAGAAGAAAATGGTGATACTGGGCACATGTTCAGGTGGAAGTTAATGTGCCTGTCGTGGCTAGCCTGCTGTTTGAACGTTACAAGCACTGAAATGAGCTCCCTAAAGCAATCCTCTGCTAAGCTGTACTGGCATAATATATGTAGAACAGTGCAGGATGGGCACAGAGCTCCTCTGCATATTGAAGGTTGTGCTGTATGGGTTGAGTGGTACAAGAAGGATTTTAGATTCAGAGAAGACATATGATACAATTCATGGTAAGGGCAGTTTCACCAAGCAAGCTCCGAGGTTGCTAACCTTCATCAGGAAGGACGGTTCAGTGTTATTTTCTACAATAAGCACTGAAATTTGGAAAATGAATATATATCCATGACTTAACAAACATTTGTGATATGAAACACATATACTATGGCCTTTGAGTGCACATGAGAAATAGTTTGGGCTTGCATGTCATATACTTTTATGTAAGAGTGGACACACTGTGGAAATGTAAAATTGTTTATAATTAGAAGCAGTGCAAGACTGGCTAATTACAGTAGTGCTAGGTACTCTTACAAGTAATAATTCAACCCATGACAATTTTTGCGGGAAGGAGCGTGCAAGTGGCGTGTGTAAGAAGATTTGAAGGTGGAGGAGAACAAGAAATGAAGCACATAAATTGAACAAGTTCGGTGATATATTTTTATACATTAAAATGAATGACATTGGGAAGGTGGAGGTGAATTAACCTGCTGTATGGACTCATGTAGATAAGAAACACAGTATGGCATAGACTTTCTTAGTTTCAAATCCATGCATGTAATGTAAGGGAAGTCTTGCCTTCACAGGAGGACAGAATTTGATTATGTGTCTGGGTATTGTTACATGTTATGAACTGTGAAACAAGGCTTACCTTCCTGGGCCTTTCAGGCTTGCTGAAATGACTTTAATGTGTGATTAAAGAGAGTGCATGTGTGCACATTTTAACAATTATAATTTATTTGAAATGTAACCTAAGTGATGCCTCACAAATATGGACAACATAATGTAATCAGTGTGTGACGGAAATCGCTGAGTTCCATGCATCCTGGTTTTCCTCGTTCCAGTTTTTTGTGGCAGAGCAGGCAAAATGCTGTGGAGGACCTTTATTTCCAGTCCTGTCTTGTGGTATTTTTTCTCTGACTTGAGCTTCTTCCCAGGCACATAGGGTATTAAACAAATGATGTTTTTTCTATTGTATTTTCCTAAAGCACTCCCATGAGAAGGAATTGTGTGATGGGAGAACAGTACTGACCCTTTCATGACTGGACTGTTGTGAGAATGATATGATAAACCTAATGGAAGTAGTGTGCTTAAACAGTCAAGACTGGTGCAGTAGATGTTTTAGAATATATTTACTTGTTTGAAATTTTTTGTTGATACTTGAAGTTTAAAAGGAAGCTTTGAAGGAAGGGGGATCCCAGCCTGGGGATTGTGGTGCCGAATGCTACAAAATTCGCACTGCAGAACTATCAAAAGTATTTGAGACTACAATATTTTGGTCCTACATTGTGATTAGTTAGTATGCCAGGCAAGTATGAATCAGATTGATGTGGAGTAAAACAATGCCTGTTGCCAGTCAACAGGCAAGTGGGACAACAGCCAAATGAGTGCTCCTGCTTCATCTGAGCTTTACACATTTGTATAAAGTGGTGTCTCTATTCTCCCACAACCAGGCATTCATTAGATTGTTTGGCAGAGATGTGCTTGAAAGTGGGTATTGTACTATGGCTAGGCAAAGTGGAGAATTTTCTTATTTTCTGCTCTAAGAGAAATGTATTTTCAAGGCTGTCTGTATAAAGGTTTTCAGATCAACTGAGTGATTTTTAGACTTGTTCAGTAATTTTGTATTTAATTCTAGCTCACGTAGAGAGTATCATTGGCAGCTGTAGTGCATAGTGATGCAGAAACCTCGACCAGTTAAATTTGTTCCCTGTGTAGCCGGTGATGTTTCTTTCTTTTTTCATCAAAATACACGCACTTTTTTTTTTTTTTTTAAATAATTGATAAATTTGTTTTTGGAAATAATGGTACTATATAAAAAAGTTTGTACTTGGTTACCTCTGCCATTATGTTGGAGTACTTAAAGGTGCTGTGCTCTTATGAACAAAATAATTTTAGGCAGAGTATTATTTTCATCACTTTCTTTCATGTTTTATGCCAATTTTAAATAGTAAAGATTAATTTTATTTTTAAAATGTCTTTTTAGAATTGCAAATTGGGATTTCAAATATTTTTAACAAGCAATTGGCCTGTCATAGTGCTTTTTGATAAGGTGGAAGTTTCTGCTGTGTCTGTAAATCTATGTTGTCATCAAACTTTTGCAGGTAAACATTACACCTTCCATACATTCCACTGGTGAATTCCCCCAGCTTCTGCATCATGGTGTGAACATGGGGTCCTTGCCACATAATGAGTCATATTTGTTGGCTCAGCAGAATGGCAGCCCAGCTAATGTGCTAGAAGCATCGATGAGATCCATTACTCCTCAGATTAATGGGAAGTCCTCTAGTGATGACTTTGAGCAGCTGATAAGAAATATGTCCCAGGTAAGCATGTCGTCTGCTAACCACAAAATGTGGATCACTGATTATCTGGAAGATTAAAATACATGTATGTTTATGTAAAAGCAGTTAAGTTATTAAACAAACCTGTGCTTACTTTCTATACAAAAAAACTTTTTAATTTAAGGAACAACTGGTAAATGAGAAAACAGTTGGAAAAGTAGCCTTGACATTGTCACTACTGAGTCGCTGTCCTTAGCTGGGAAGTGTGCTTCTCCCAGGTCAGCATACCATTGTCTTTCTGTGCTCAGTGTAGGACTGCTGCTCTGTGCGTGAAGGAAATGCTTTGTCAGAGCATGCTCTTGTGTGCATAAATAATAAAAGCTAGTTCTATGACTTGCTTGGAAATAAGACAGAAAATTCCTTTCAGGCCTCACTATGCACTGTTCTGCAATCTTACTGCTTTCCTGTGGTACGCAGAAATAGTGTGTGAGTCCTTTCAGTGGCTGAAGCTGAGAATGTCCAGGCATATATGCTAGCATTTTTCTAATTAATACATACAGATAGGGGAAGTCTTCTGCTGTTCTCACGGGGACACTTACAGTCCTGCTTTTTCCCTCTGTCTGAAATCCATCTTCTTTTTGTAGTTCTGCTTAAGAATTGGCCTGTACTCTCTAAAACTTTATAGACACACATATCCTAATGTAGTCAACACTAAACTCTGTATATTTAGCTGTTGTTTCCTGAATTCCCCTTCTTGGCCATAAAAATCTTCATTTCTGACATCTTTCATAATTGTCACTTTTCCAAATGATAGTGATAAATTGGACTGAACAACTGTGTTTCAGTTGTTAGATAGTGTAGCCATGTCCAGTTGTAGCTGTCAAATTAGAATCCAGTTTCCAGTCTGTTTACCACATTCCTTGATGCTGCTTTTCAGCATTTTTAACATTTGTACCCTTTTTTTTTCCTACTGGACAGGGTCGTCTTGTTGAGACCATTGAGCTTATTAAACCTTTAAGTGGTGGTCTGGGCTTCAGTGTCGTGGGACTCAAGAGTGAAAACAGGGGAGAAATAGGAATATTTGTGCAAGAAATTCAGGAGGGAAGTGTGGCACATAGGTAAGTTTGCTACTGGGATATTTTACTGTACCAAGTGTTAACATATCACTGCAATTTAGTTGTGTTATTGCTGGGTTTTTTTGTGATACAGGGGCACATTTCTCTCATATTCTAAGGTATACACCATAGAAGATTAAAAATTATGCATCACTACAATTTATGTAACATTGGAACACGGCACCATATAATCTGTTCTGAATTTCTAGAAACTATAGATGTAGTTTCTCTATTTCATAGAATCATAGAATGGTTTGGGTTGGAAGGGACCTTAAAGATCATCTATTTCCAATACCCCTGCCATGAGCAGGGACACGTTCTACTAGACCAGGTTGCTCAGAGCCTCATCCAACCTGGCCTTGAACACTTCCAGGGAGGGGGCATCCACAGCTTCCTTGGGCAACCTGTTCCAGTGTCTGACCACCCTCACAGCAAAGAATTTCTTCCTAATATCTCATCTAAACCTCCCCTCTTTCAGCTTAAACCCATTTTCCCTTGTTTTGTAATTAACTGCCCTTATGAAAAGTCCCTCCCCAGCTTTCTTATAGGCCCCCTTCAGGTATTGGAAGGCTGCTATAAGAAGGTTGCTATTTGTCGTATTTCCTTTCCAATGGGGAAAATGGAGAGGTTATTGTTCTGTGTCATGGCTTTCAAAGTCGAAATACAGATTTTGCCATCCTTGAATGTACTGAAAAACAATTTGGTGCCAAAAACCCCCGTTGAAATTAGCAGGGTTGGTTGTTAGGTAGGGTCCCACTGAGCAGGTAGAAAACCCAGCTTTTAAATCAAGAAAAGCTTGATGTAAAGGTATTGGACTCTTTTTAAGAGATATTCAGCTGATACTACAAGAAACTCATCAATAATAGCTTACTGGAAGTATGCTTTACGCTTTAATCCTGTTTCCACAAGCAGTGTTGAGAGAAATGGGTTTCAGCTATAAGAATAGCGTAACGTCACAAACAAAGTCAGTGGTCAATGGCAGCTGTGCTGGTTCACTGCAGAGTGATGTGGTGTATCACTGTGAGTTGATTTGCTGATCAGGTTCCTGGCCAGAGCTGCTCTGTGGTGTACTCTGTATGTTGTGTGAGACAGCTGAGTCATCTTGGGGCTACTTCTAAGTGTGCTGTAGGGCGAAATTTTCTCATTATTTGTAGTCTGAATGCAGTCTTTTTAACAGAGGGCAGAGTGTGGCCTGCAGGGTTAATTTATTTACAAAAAGTGACATGCTCTATGTCATTACAATATTTTTTAGTCTGCCTAAATTCCACTTTCCTTTTTTTTTCTTTTCCCCTTCCCCTTCAAGAGATCTTTGCTTTTACTTCTCTTACTCCACAGAGTTGAGACCTATCTTTACTCAATCAGACCCTGCCCAATTCACTGTCAAGAAGATAAACATTCAACAACTGTTTCAGGGCTCATAAATCAGAAAGGCCCTGGTGAAAAACAGTTCAAGCAGAACTTTATGGATCAAAGCTAAATAGTGTTTTTCCTGGATGCTGTTGATTATCTTGGCTTCTACACTGTAGGTGCTTACAAAAGCTGGTATAATAGGGATCCTTGGTTTTGTTAGTACCCTTTGTTTTCAAAGCATTGCCACTTTGGGATGTTGAAGTTAAGACTCCAGAGTTTTTGCTGGTTTGTTTCAGAAGCAATAGAAGCAGTGGAGGAGGCAGAGGATAATTCATCCGTGTAGGCTCCATGCGCTTCCTTTGAAGTAGGTCTGAGGAAGGGCTTGGTGTGTCATTTTACAGTAGCACTTCTTTTGTCAGAAAGCAAAGAGTTATTTTTTAATTTGTTCAGGACTTTTTTTCCTCCTCATTTGAAAGGGATCTGTTTTATAATTTTATTTCTGCTTCTCTCTCTGCTTCCCCTTCTTTTTTTTTTTTTTTCCCCCACTTGGTTTTGTGCAAAACAAAATTTGTTTCTGTAACATCTTGATGAAAGTGTGTTCCACTGCACGGTTACATGAATATTCAGCATGGGCACACTGAACGAAGTGAAGCACTTGGTCTGTTAAGCAAGAGGCTCAAAGTCAAGAATAAACATAAGTTCCCAGGCTATAGTTGGGAGTGTCTGAGACCTAATGTGCTTAGTCTCGGATGGGGATACAGGGAGAAGAAAGCTAGCTAGGGGGTTGTAGCCAGGGGAGGGTGGCAGTGGGATTAGCTTCAAAGGAAGCGATCACCAGGGTGCTGCATCAGCTCCTTTCAGCAAAACTGCAGGGAGAGATTAAAAAGTGGAGGGAATAGAGAACAGGTTGTTAAAAGTACTGGCAAATTGTCAAAATACTGTAATTTCTGTGGCAATGCTTCTTTGGTTTTGCTTGTTTGTTTATTTTGTTGTCTCCCTTCCCTGTTTACACATATGTCACAGAGATGGAAAGCTGAAGGAAGCAGATCAAATCCTTGCCATTAATGGACAAGCCCTTGATCAGACAATTACACATCAACAGGCTATCAGCATTCTACAGAAAGCAAAAGATAATGTCCAGCTAGTTGTGGCCAGGGGCACTTTCCCTCAGCTCATAAGTCCTGTAGTTTCCCGGTCTCCATCTGCTGCTAGCACAGTTTCAGCCCATTCCAACCCGGTGAGTATACCCCAAACATTTATATATTCAATTCTGGGCATGTATGCGCTTATTGCATCTAGCATTTTGAGACTTTTTTTTTGTAAGTTATACGTACATTTCTTTTATGGTTCTTGAGATTTTTCTTCTACTTATCTTTGTTGCAGCTTTTTCCATGCAAAAAGTAGAGAATAACCAGGCTTGCTGGGGGGATCTTGGTTTTGGCCATATTCCTTCCTCCCATATGTCAAAGTCTCTATATCCATGAATGCAAATACAGCATGTTCACCTTACTTTTTGAAACTTTATTTTGAGGTAGAAGTAAACGGGATCTTTTTTCTTTCTCTTCTGCTCGGGCCAACAGAGATTGTTGAGGCATGCAATCTGATCTGCTCTACCAGCTGGATGAGTGCTTCTCTGTTTCTCTCTTGTCTGTTAGCAGTGAGACTCAAGTAAAGCGACAAGAGAGAGCCATCAAAATGCCACATGTAGGGACACGCTTTAGGACTCCTTGAAAACAGCTCTGCTACATTTCCTGTCTTTTGGAAATTTACACATCTAGATGTAGAGATCATAGCTCAGAAACATGCTGATATTAACCATGGTTAATATGGTGAACTTTGTAATAGCTCATTTTGGGATGAAATGGCCTGTCTTCAGTTTCTGTAGCTGTTCAGTCATCTGTAACTCTTCTTTAAGGGGGCTGATAATCAGAAGTATACAGAGCAGTCAGTCTGGTAAAAGTAATAAAACTGTTTGGCCTGAGTTTTCCTGTCAGCACATAGGAGAGGCCTGCTCCCTTCCAGTATTTCTGTGACATACTTTATATGATTGCCTCCATATTCTCCAAACAGCTTCCCTTGCTTGAAAAAATGTTCCTTTCAAACCTGTCACAGCTCCTTCTGTGTTTTTATGCATGCCTTTCCCAGTCGTTGTGTTCCTTTAACTTTCAAATGCTGGGGCAAAGCAGCTTATCTGGAGCCATTGTTTTTCCTTCAGGCTTTGCTTGATCATTGTTGGTTTGTGTTAAGACTGCAGATACCCAAAAAGGCACTACAGGACTTTGAATTTGCAGTACCTTGTTTATTCCAAAATAATTGCTCCTTTTCAAGATCCTACCTGGTGGAGCACCAGCTGTGGTTTTAAATTGCACATGAGTTTATGGTGTGGTTTGTTCTTCAGGAGAAACAATACCAGCAGCTTCCAGTTGTCCCTTCTGTACTGCCCTGCAAGAGTGAATTGGTGTTTGTCTTTCAGAGCAGTTTTGCTTCTGTCAGAACATGAAGCCTGCCATCAGAACTCTTTCATTGCAGTGCTCTTGACATCAGACATCAGACAACCCAGAAATCCTTGTTCATTACACAGGGGGTAATTCTGCTAATGTGTACTTCAGAGTACCTGGTGCTGCTTTCAGCCTTAACCTGTGAAGTGGGTTTATGCCTTCTCCTGTGCTTTGTTGTAATGTCTGGTGTCAGCATGCACTTATCTGAAGATTTTAATTTCTAGTCTTGTGAGATTTCCTAGCAGCAGTGTTTTTCTCACTGACTGCAGTGGGTCATGGTGAGGTGGACAGTCCTAGATGGCTGCTTAAATGAGTTCAGCAAGTTCTTGAAAGGCCTGACCCGCTACCTGGCTCTGGTTTGTACCAGAGAAATTCTGACTGTTAGAGAACAAGCAATTCATTGCTTAAGTATTATGTAATCTTATACCTAATTAAAGGTCCCATATTTCCACCTTCCTCTAACCTTAATTTGTTCAAAAACATACCCAAGAAATAAGAGAAAATATTTTGCAATTTTTAATATGTATGTCCTTATTTTAATCATTTGCAAGCTGATATTTATTCCTTTTAGGTTCACTGGCAGCATGTGGAGACCATTGAGTTGGTGAATGATGGCTCAGGTTTGGGATTTGGGATAGTGGGAGGCAGATCAACTGGAGTGATCGTTAAAACCATCCTCCCAGGAGGGGTGGCTGATCAGGTAAATTCAACCTACCCTTCAGTTTACCGTTCAGTAAGGTGTGAAGATACTTTACTTTTATAATCATGCTATGTAATGGCAGCTTTTTTCCTTATAAGTGTAAAAAAGAGCAAGTGATTAAATTTATCCTCAGTAAAGGTGTGTTTAGTGCAGGGTATCTGTGCATTTGAATGTAAAAGCTGGATTAGTCTCTAAATCACATTTTCCAACCTGTTACATTATACATGTTTGGTACCAATGCATTTAGACTCCTAATTCTTTGATGAATATACTGGTTGTATATACTGCTGTTGGAGCAAATACTTGCTCTGTCCAGGCAGCTAAGAAGACCATCTGCTTCTTTCCACTGGGCTTAGTGAGGCTTGGAGCAAGCATATGGTGTCGTGTGTGTGCCTTGGGACGTGGGCTCTCCTTCTGCCTGAATGGCTCATGATAATTGAATTTGGTGGTCACAGCCCATTTCAAGCTTGTCCGTTGGACAAGAGTCTAGGGTTGTGTTGATAATGGTCAAGAATCGAATAGGCACATAGAGAGTGGTCAGTCTTTCAACCACAGAAGTGGTGGCCTCATAACAGAGCCTGGAGATGCCTGGACAGGATTTACTGCTGCGTTCTTTCCCTGAGCAGGGGGATGCTTTCCTTTTACAGACCTGTCTCTTTAATGCTTTTCATATGGGCTAAATACATGTGAAGCTTTTTACTGATGAAATGTAAATTGTTAAGAGACTAAAGCAGTGTAAAGTAGTATAAATAACTGGATCGCAGTGAGGCAGAAATTTATTTTGTTTTGAAGTTATGGTTAATCCTGAGGACCAGCTTTTAAATAGAGTTGCAAAGCTGAATATATGTTTGTGTGCTGTCTTTTGGAAGTGTGTTTTGAAATGAAACCTGAAATTCTATAATCTGCATGCAGTTGTTAAATACCAGTAGGTAGTACCCATAACTATATGTTGGGGGTTTTTTTTCTGTGCTCAGGTGACTGACTGCTTGAAAAAGGATGTCCTGAATATTTCTGGAGAAATTTCTAGTAAAATTAGTGTGCCATTAGGCAACCTACTTTTTCTTCTCCATGTTCTCAGGATATTGACTTGATGCCCAAGAATGTCACCTGGTTCATATGTCTTAAAAGTGACAAAAGCTGTGTGGTCTTTTTGTAATTGTATGGTATGTGGAAGAAACGACAGGATGTTAACATTAACGGATTTTTTTTTTAATCATTATTCTTCCTCCAGCATGGAAGACTGTGTAGTGGAGACCACATCTTGAAAATTGGTGATACGGACCTTGCTGGAATGAGCAGTGAGCAGGTGGCACAAGTTCTGAGGCAGTGTGGAAATCGAGTGAAACTGGTGATTGCAAGAGGTCCTGTTGAGGAGCCACCTCCACCAGCAGTCCCTCCAGGTACTCCAGTACCCATCTCCACACCAGAGAAACATGTAAGCAACAGTGCATATACTTTGATGGCAAACTTTTACTTCAAACTTCCTTTTCTTTTAACTGCTATTTGAATATTTTAATGTCTTTCACGCTTACATTCTCAAAAGTCAGGATTTTCTTTCTCATTAGCAGTGTTCTCAGCTGACAGTCTGGGAGCATCTGAATGTCATTAGTCCACAGTGCAAGGAAATATATGCTTGCAGCCTTTTGGCATCAAGGCTTAGGACTTACATAAGTATGATCTGAAAAACTTCTGGTTCTGGGTTGCCTGTGATTGTGCAGTAGTACATTGGGAACAACTGAAGCCATGCAGTTTTTTCTTCAGAGAGAGCAAGCTGGCTTTGTAGCATTTCTCTGTCTGCCTGTCCTCTTCCTCTCCAGGAACATTTTTTATTTCCATATTGCAGCCATCCATCAGACAGTTCCTCCCTGTGCCAACCAGTACACAGATGCTCCTTCTTTCTGACATCACTTGCCATTGATTATTTGCTAGACATCTTCCAGAAAAGGTCAGCCAGCTGCTACCCTTATTCCCCTGCCACTGACTGTACTCTCTGTGCTGTTTACTCCTCTGCAAGCATCAGCCACTTAAAAGATGATGTAAATATTATCATCTCCTGTCAGCTCAAAACCTCTACAAAATAGGTCATTTGCATGTTTGCAGCAAAGCCTGGTTTCATGAGAGCCAGAACAGTAGTGTTCTGTCACATACCATTATGACCAGATACATTTAAATGTGAATATGTGGAGTAAGTGAATGAGAGAAGAAAACAGTGGTTGTTTTTGAGCCCACAACTAGGTAGAATTTATGCCTTACAAAGAATTTTTTGGTTTATTTTTTCCTGGTGTTTTTCTAGGCATTTTCTTCCCAGTTACAAATTACGTTTCATGTAGATCACGTCGGAAGAAAAAATGCCGTAACAGTTTTTGCATAATTACCATCATTTTGCCTCTGTCCATTGTAGTGGTATCTATGGAAGACAAACATATATTCATCCCCTCTGTTGTGGCTGTAAGGCAAAGAAAGTTAACCTTAACATGAAGTCTTCTGAGTATTTAAGAGAGACAGACTGGTACTTTTGTGTCTCTGCAGCACTCAGACGCATGAAAAACATTCTGTATTTCAGATATAAAGGAATCAATATTTAGCCCAGATTTTATTTATCTGAAAAACAGTAGTCTTAAAAGAGAAGCTGAATTTGATTATTTCATTTGTGTATTTCTTCAGTATTAGCCTTTCAGAGGTTATGTGTTGCAATGTTGAAAGTCATATCTGCAGCTGCAGGATATATAGGATTTCTAGTATGGAGGAAATAGCTCAAAGCCACCAAGTAGCAAAATTTGACTTTTTTGCCACCTTCCTCTCCATTTCCATCAATTTCAGTACGTTGGTGCATCTCTCCCGGCAGGAGGCAGGCCATTTTTAAACTGCTTCTGCCGGCACAGTCTTTTTCTTTCAGGGAGCACCCAGTTAATGGTGCTGCAAGCCTTTTTAATTCAGGTCTGGAACGAAGGTGATGATGGAAACAGCTTAGTTTTTCCTGACAAATGCAGGGTGGGTGAAGACTTCGTGATGCTCTGAAAGCTATTGGTGAGAGCAGAACAGGTCCTAAATGGGCACTTCTCATCATGTCCCCTGTAGAGGTCTGTCCTGTAAAAATTCCTGAGGTTATGGAAATTGGAGCAGTTTTTTTAGTGTCATTACCTGTGTCCAAAATAATCCTGTATTTCCAAGCAGAGAAGTAGTTAAGGCAGTAGAAATTTATTTTTCTTGTGTTTGGTTGTGGTTTTGGTTGCAGTTCTTCAGATAAAGAACGGAAGTCGGATATACTTTTGGCAAGTAGTATCATAGCTCTCTTGAAGTCTTTTTTTTTTTTTTTTTTTTTTTTTGGCACATGCATACACATCTAGGCAAACTGGGATTAATTAGTATTGCCTGGTAGCTGTGTTGGCACTTCAAAAATATTAGCTACTATTTGTCCTGCAGAAGAGACAGAAGAAAATATGAGCATAGCAGGATCTTGATAGGATTGTGCTATATTTATGAATTCCCATTTTAAATATGTGCGTAAATATTGATGTCTATATAAAGAAATTGAAGCCTGTTTTATGTCATCATCTACTGATACATATCTCAGGTCTGGAAGTGGCTAGTAAGTGTCTGTTTTAGACAGCTGAAAATGAAAAATTTAAAAACTTTTTAAAAAGTTGAAAGTAAGTTTTATAAGTTGATTTTTTTAAACAGTTGTTGACATGGGAATTTAATACATATTATACTTTCATTAACAAAAAATAAATGAATTCATTACCCCCCCAAATTCTTTGTTCTTGAAATTCAGAGGGTTGTAGCAGGTGTTAGCAGAGGTTGTCATTATTTAACTAATTGGAAGTATAATTGCTACTTTCTAGAACAGAATTTTTAAGTCTTTGAAAATCAAGAAACATAATTGCCTCAGTAGAAATAGCTTTTATTATGTTTTAAACTTGGTATGCATAGGAGAAAAATAGCTATATTTGTTGAACAGGAATTTAAACAAATAGAATACAAAATATGATTTTGGTCTTCTTTTAAGTAACACTGCAGTCTAAAGCAGCTTCTAAGGAAGTCCCAGAAAGGCAGCAATCTGCATATTCTAATGTTTAAGCATGGTTTGTGTAATTTACTGTACAAGAGGTTGATTGTTCAATTTGTACAGATTTCATGAGTCATTTTAGTGATCAAATAATGTTTTTATAGGTCAGAGGACAATATCGCAGGGCAGAGAGGGCATGACCTGCATTGCTTTACAGTAAGGAGTGTTACCTGTATCTAGTTTCTCTGATGAATGACAAATAAAAGCAGAAGCAAAGTTGATACTTTCTTTTTTACATTTGTGTCTAATTTTACATGTTAATTACATCAAAGAATGTGGTGGATCTTTAAATCAAAAAAAGCTTCCTTTCTAATCCTTGCTTTTCTTATTAGGCAGATGCTTCTGTTGATGGCTGTGAAGATGGGGAGAAATTTAATGTTGAGCTCACTAAAAACATCCAGGGATTAGGAATAACTATTGCTGGTTACATTGGAGACAAAACATCAGGTACTGATTGATTCCTGCAGTTTACTATACAATTTGTTGAGTGCTATGGTGTATGTGCATCAAAGACTTAATTTTAGTTTTTGTATAGCATCTCTAAAAAACCCTTGACCATCTGAAATCTTTTTAAAATTTGTAAAGAAAAAGGAATTGTTTTCCTTTTGTTAGAAGGATGTTCAGATTAGAAGCAACCAGTTTTATTGTAATATCTCACCTCGCCATTTTTTAATCAATTTTTATATTCACTCTTGGCTAAAGCTTGTGCTTGTATGTTTTTGAAAAACAGTTCTAAAATAGATTGAGTCATTTTTATGGGCTTTTAAAACTACATTTTAAATTTTAAAAGGCTCTTACAAGCTGATTCACTAGTTTACCGAGTAGTTTTAGGAGATGTTATATTAACAATGTGTATAGTAATGCTGGGAGATCAAGAATTCGTCTGTTGTCTTCTGGATACAGTAAATGTTTATTGACCTCAGGGCTGTTGCAGCCAATAAATAAGTTAATTTAAACAAATAAATGCAACAGCATTCATGTACAGTTGTGTATTTTTTGTGTAATTTCCACTATGTCTTTTAGAACTCAGCTAAGTCTCGCTAGGGGGAATTTGGCAAATGCAATACTGTTAGGAAGAGAAAGTTGTCAAATGTGTTGTAAAACTTCTCAAAGAGCTGTTGATTTGACTTTTACCTATGTATATGTTAGAAAAATGTATGGACAGATGTATGCCATGTTATTGTCAGTTTACAGACATAACCTGTTGGCTTTGAGAAGCTAGACTAAATTTTAGCGATCTGTTCCATAGGACAGGGTGATCACTGTGTAAGTCCCCTCTTTAGCAGCTTACAGTTGAATCTTTAAAAGGCAAATTAAATTGTAGAACATGTGATAGATCTGATAGCATATTTTAACTAGATTTAGTGTTGGGAGTATCACTGATCTTTGATTTTAAATTACTGTGCTGCATTAGAAAATATTGTTGCCTTAGAAACTAATTGGACATCTAACTTAATTTTGTGACTTAACACTTAGTTAAAGAACAACTTTGCTGACAGAGACGCATCAATAAAACTACTGGACAACAAGATCTGTGACTGAATCTTTAATGAATGACAAAGAGCAATCATACAGCTGTTACAGGATATGAAAATACTTGGAAATTAGTAGAACCATCCATTTAATTATTCACAAAACCTGGGAAAACAACAAATTAAGAAAAAAGAAAAAAGAATTGTCTGTGTCATGACTTAAGTATATAGTCTTATTCTATAATGACTATAGTCATTAGAGCAAAACATTGATTCACTCCTCCTTCGTGCTAGCTTTTATCATATTGAGGATCAATAAAAGATGGGTTTCAAGTCTGCAAAGGCACTGTAGCGTCTCGACAGCTGTTAAAACCCATTTTGTAGTGGATTATCTTCACTTTACTGATCCATTGAAGTTGTTTCCAATGCCAGTGTGTTTATCCTGAAATGAATTTCTTTTTGTAAAATATCCCTTCTGTAGGTGTTTTATATATAAGACTTTTCCTTCTGGTTCAAAATCAGTAACTATCTAAAATTGTTCTGTTTGGGGGGTTTGGATCATGTATGTCATCTTTTTAATTTTTTTTTTTTTTTTTTAGTTGGATCAAATACTGACTTACAGCTGTAGTTAAAAGCTGGTTCAAAGCTAAGTTGTAGTCTTGCTTGCTTATAATTTTCTGCATATGGTTATCCAAGCATGCATTTTCTTAAGCAGTTAATAAGTACATGGAAAATACTGAGTTTACCAGGTTAGTGTACTCAAACTGCATTTTCTGTCCCGCAGTTTTAAATATGGCCAAGAGTCAGAGAGATGTTTTTGTCAATGTTAGTTTCAACTTTTAGATTAAAGTAAGTTAGAATATTTCTTCTTTTGCAGCAAGAATTGCTTATTTAGCATTGTAAGATTTTTTTTCTTTTTTTTTAAATAAAATCTTGTCCCAGGCAAGCTGACATTAATCAGACACATCCTTTTGGAAAATAATAATCTATATGCTTCACTTAAAGCTTATACTTTCTTTATAATTCTTTCCTTATCTTACTGGGAGACTATGTTTGCTTTCCTTTTCTCCCCTTGGCTGGTGGCGTTAGTTGGAGACAGTTGCATTATTTAAATTGTTTCTTAATAAATTAGTTAATTTAATTTTCTCTGTTTTGTCATCCCAGAACCTTCTGGTATTTTTGTGAAAAGCATTACAAAAGGCAGTGCTGTTGAACAGGATGGCAGAATCCATGTGGGAGATCAAATTATAGTTGTAAGTAAACGCAGAAAGAAATTAGATCACTTGTCTGCAAAACTCCACTTCCTTAAGTAAGGAAACGCTCATATAGTACTTTTAAAAACATTTAGGATTGATGTTGAAATAGTGAGTTGTTTTTCTTTGAATGAGTGTTCTATCACATTATCTTCCTGATTTCTTCCTGTGTGTAACTTGTTTCTTAAGAAAATCTGTGTTGTATGTGTGTATTTTATCAGTAGGAGCTTTGGGACTGCTTAGTAAAGGCAAAGTTTCAAAGTTTGATTCAAATTAAACAATTGTTTTCAAATTTTTGTTTTAAAAGTATGTCATTAAAGTTTTAGATGCTCGGAGAAAGAAGAAGACATTTTCATGCCTAAAATGCTAGTTTTGTGGTGAAAATCGGGTCATAAGTGCAAGAACTGCATTTTTGTGTCTGTCAAAGATCTGGCCTTGCATTTGTGTGAAGACAGCACTAAGAACAAGTTACGGTCTCTCTCCAAGTACAGATATACCTGCGTGTTTGTAGGTAGAAGTATATATGCTTTTTATAATAATTTAAATGCTGAGTACAAATGGCTGAAATTGATTATTCTGAAGTTTAATTTATTCTTCTACTGCAGATGCAGAAGGAGAAAAAGATTTGAGTGACCTCAGCAAAAGAATAATAAACATTTTTTAAAATATGGTTTACTTAAGTGTGGAGGAAAAATTAAATAATCCCAGTGCATTTTTAATTACCTTATATTTAGAAGAGGACCAGGGTTGGAAGAAGTTCAGAGAAAGGCAACAAAATAAGGGTCCGGGGGCAGTCATTCTTCTTGCAGGAGGAATTAAAGTAATGGAATATGTATGTTGTATAGATAGACTGAAATAACTACAGAAGTCAAGAAATCCAGTATTGTTATAAGCATTTCAGAAATTAAAGGCACTGAAGGGTGAGCTGGAGAAAGAATAGGATAATATGGAGCTTGTGGGGAGAAGGAGAGTAAACAGTGGTGTGTACTAGGGGACAGATGGGGTGGAATTGAGCAATGACAAAGTCTTGAGTTTCAGAGAAAAAAACCTGAGATAATGGAGTATCTTCAAATAGAAGAGGCCAAAATCTTGTTACTTAAAATATTAAAATGATGAACCAGAGATAACGTATGGCTGGCTGGGACAGTATTTGATTGGGAAATTGGCCTTCACAATGTTTAGTAGTAGTAGACTTCACTGTGTCTGATGTTACTTGGCCTCAGAACAACTGCACTCTGTAGTTCTTCCTGCCACAGTGGATGGATGTGTTTCTCCTCACTCTACCCTCCCCAGCTCTCCCAGCCATGGCTTTGTTGGTTTATTCACCCAGTATTTTCTCCTCAGAGATGAGGATGGCTGGAGCGGTTGAGCAGGCAGGCTGCACAGTGTGCCTGGCGCAGCACATAACTGTGTCTTTTCCCACCTCGCAGAGCAGATCTGCCTGGCCTCACTGTGGTGGGCACCCAAAGTACTTCTTCCCACTTTGTGGTACTGGTTGTTACCTAGGTGTGGAGTACTCCAGTGAAAGTGTTTAGTGTATCCGATGCTGTTTAAGTCATCCATGTTTTTATTCTTATCCTTGTGCTTGCTTTATGCTCAGGCTAACAGATGCTGAGAGCTCACCATATTATTTTGCCCTGCACATTTATTTTTTTTTTTTCCTGGGTGATGTTTTGTGGGCTGAAAAACTGCTTAATCCTGCAGGTGGATGGAACAAATCTTCAGGGTTTTACTAACCAGCAGGCAGTTGATGTTTTGCGGCATACGGGACAAACGGTTCGGCTCACTTTGATCAGAAGAGGGCTTAAGCAGGAAAATCATATTCAGCCCCAGGAGGACTTCAATGCTGCTGTTGAAAAGGACTTACTGTTCCAAACAATGGATAGTAGCACAGCCAAAGGTAATTAAAACTGTCTTTGCTTTCAAGTTGGCTTGAAACATTCTTCTTCTCAGTTGCAAACTGGAAATAAAATGGGCCAGATTCATTCTGGGTAGCTGTCACTGATGGCAGAGCTGCTGTACACAAGGGAAGAATTTGGTCTACTATGGTTTGATTAATCTTTTAGACACAGTGGTATTATTTTCTATGCTTTCAAAGTGAGTATTGAAAGCTCTGCACTGTGTTGCACTCTGGCTGGATTGCTTCAAGACTTTGATCCTGCAAATCTTCATATGGTAAGAAGGCAGTGAGTGTTTTATTCCTGCTCAAGGGTGAGAGCTGCATTCAAGAGCAAGCAAAGAGATACCCTCCACAATGAGCAAAAGCGAGTCTCAGTTCCTTTCATTCTTGTGTGTCAGTGTCACAAGGTTACGGTATGAGAGGAGTGGCCTATATCTGGAGGCTGTTAATAATCTGATAGGGCATTAACTACCTACCTATGCAAAGTTCAGAGGCCAATAACCAGTATTAATTTTGCTGGTGATTAGATGGGATTAGTGAAGCTTAATCTTGTACTGTGCACATCTTGAAGTATATATGCCAGATCTTGAAAGTCAGTCTGTTTGAACAGAATATCTGCACAGAGGCTGGATGTACAAACAGGTGTTTTTTCAGGTTAAAAGTTGATGTCAGAAGTATATCGCAACTCATAGACTGAAGCATAATCCCCACCTTGCACAAGATTTTGAAAGAGCCAGTAGTATGCTACCTGTATGGCATCCTCTCATTCCCACCTTTAGCAAAAGTTACAGAGGAAATGCTCAGAAAATGCTGTTTCTCCATCGTAGAGGTGTTCAATACAGCTGGCAGCCAGCAACTCACCTAACAGAACTCCTTTGTAGGAGCGGTTTTCTACAAATGAAAAACCTGACAGGTATGCAGGTCTCCAAGTCTGTAGCTTTTTTTTTGTTGTTGTCAGCTTCCTGAATCAGAAAAAGGAAAGGGTAAGAAAAAAAAAAAAGGTAATACAAGAGTGCTAAAGGACATTATATGTTTTTCAGTAAGTTTTCTTTCGGCCATAGAGATGCAGTTATTGATAGTTGTGCATTTTTTCTTGTTTCATTGAAAAGTTCACTGGAGAAGGCAAAGCATTGACAGAAGACAAAATGCCTTTAGAATATGGCATTTCTTCTGGGCCCTTTGTGCTGGATTCCATTTGCCAAATATGAATCTTCTGAAGTCCAGTGGAAGAGAGAGTCAGTGCCTTGAGACATGCCTGTGAGCTTTATGAATATTACAACACATAAAATATCTGAAAAGAAAATACCTTCTTTTTACAGATAACAGTGAAATGGAACAAGGATCTCCATTACTGTCATGCAGTGCCAGTGTGGTAAATACTGGAGAGGACATAAACCAACAAGAAACAGGTTCACAATGTTTAATATTTTATTCTGTGAAAATGCACTTGAGTGTGCTTACACAAAGATCAGATGTTTTGTGTGGCTTTCCATCTCCTGTGTACTATGTAGCTCAGGTACAGTGAGAAGGTGAATGTAGTCATGCATGTAAGCATGTATTCTTGAGTCCTGTGCGATCATTGACTACTTATGTGTCTGAAAATAATTTATGTGTCAAAGATGTCACATGAAGCAGTCTCCTTTTGCTACATGCTCAGCTCTCTTTTTAGTCTAGTTTTGTGTTTCAACTCTTTTTAGTCTAGTTGTGTTAAACTTTTTACCTCTTCATTCCCTAACATGCCTTATCTTTCTAGCTCCCTGCTAGAACTGCCCAGCTGCAGTTCCAGGACTTTTACCTATTCTGAAAACTTTCTTGTCACAAATTCCTGAGCTTGTATTAATTTCAGTCTGTATTCTCTGATAATGTTTGAAATTCACTCAGACTAATACGCTCTTGATGTTTCCCATACTCTTTGTGAACATTCTTAATTTCTACTGGGTATCTTCCTTTCATTCTTGAGCTATTAGGGCACTGTGCTGCATTTCAGATGTCCTATGCAATTATATGTTTTCCAGACTGAGACAGCACTTGATGTGTTTTCTAACATTTTCCTGGTTCCATACCAGGAAAGTTCTGTAATGTGTATCTTTCCATAACTCATGCTTTCCATTATCCTGGATAGCTGAAGAATTTATTTTTAATACCTTTCCTTTGTATACTGCAAGGTCTCTGCTTTGGGGAAAGTATTGTCATATTTTAATACCACAGAACACCTGGCTTTAGTTTAAGTAATGTTTCTGAGCAATGGCTAGATTTAAAACACTGTCTGAGAATGTTAGTCACTTTTAATTCTTAGTAAAAGTCAGTTGGAGCTGGGAACTTAATCTTGGAATGAAGATTCTAGTTTTTGCCTGTGGTGAGCATTCATATCTGAAGAGTTTATTTCGATACTGTAGGCACAGCACAGACCATGGACCTGGAATATGTAGGGTCCTGTTAAATCTGCTGTGTTTGATGACTGTTGTATCTAAATGGTGCTTTTTACTATTTCCTGCCCTAGAATCTAAACAGTATGAAGGAGGGGAAAATGAACAGGAGGAAAGCATTCCTCTCTTTTTTTCAGCCTGCAATAAACTTTCAATTAAGTTAAGAGTTGCTGCGTTTTGCTGCCTGGCCTGTCGTTGTCTTTTTCACAGCATCACTACTTTTCTCCCCTCCTTCCCTTTCAATTTCACTTCTGCTCTTCAGCTATTAGGATTATTTCTCATTGTATGTGTGCACATATGTGAATCCAACAAAAAAAAAAAAAAAAAAGAAAAGAAAAATAAGAGATAGGGCTTGAATTCTCTCACTGCCCTCTAAGGCCTGCAGTTTCAAAAAATCTTTTACAGTTGTGCTCATAGTTTTGAAAGTAAAAAACCTCCAGATTTTGTTGAAAACTTTCCTTGGAAGCTCTCTATATAATACAGAGTCTTCCCAAAAGGATCAGTATGTGGTGTCATATTTCGGCCATTCCCCTGAATTAATCTGATCAGCCCACATAGTCCGATTCAACAAATACCCAGGGCATGTACATAACTTTTTAATTTGCTTTGTGCCCATTATCTTGTGAAGTTGCATTGAATTCACTCAACACTTAGGCTAGTTTAAATATGTGTCCTCTCTTCTCAGCCATTCACACTGAACTTTTTGACTGAACTTCGTGTGTTCTAAAATACAGAGTTAGTTTTGTGGGGGTGAGATCTAATATTGTTTGCAAGTTTTTCCTCTGGTAGACCCAAGTCTGGTGAGACAAAATATGTCAAGTGCTTAGTTGTATTTAGGATAGTTCTGGCTTCACAGGAATGATTGTGTAGTCTTGCATGGTCCATATACTTTATCAATTACAAGAATAGACAGGATGTTCTACTTCTTGTCACAATAATCTCGGACATAACTTTCAGATTTCCAGATAACTACTACAGAAGAAGCAGCTATGAAGGCAAAGTGGCAGAGGATTATGGGTTCGAATTATGAAATAGTGGTACGTAAACTTTGATTACTAAATGCCCTTTGATCTGTCTCTGCAAAAGCGTGCACTATTAGATATATTATTGTCATATACAGCTTCCACTTGTTTATTCTGAAGTGGTATGTGATCAGAGTTTCAGTTTTGACCTACCTGACTCCTGTTCCAAGCATTTGTCACATTTTTACACAAAAGCAATGCAGATACTCTTCCCCATCTGGCATAGATTATGTTGGATTGGGCTGTGTTTCAGTATTTGTGCATATGGGGCTTTTCTTGTTGTTCTTGCATAGGAGTCTGAAGCACCACTTAAAGGCAGGTAAAAGAGTAGGTCTGTGATGCTTTCTGTCCATGGGGCAACATAGTCATGTTACTCCAGACAGGGTATTTTGGTCTGTTGTGCTTCCTGGGTAACACTGCGAATCCCTAACAGCAGTTTCCTTTCCACAATAATCTAGCATTTTGTGATTGTCTTAACTTTAACTAAATGTGACCTGCAGATTTTAGTTTTTATCTGTTTTTTCCCTCTTGATGCTTTTCCTCCTGTTGGGAAGTTAAAGTTGTCTTCTTTCTTTTAAGCTGTAGTTGTTATTTCCCTCATTGTTGTTGAAAAACCTAAGCTAGTAACTTTGGTTGCTTTTGCAGTCTAAAAGTCTGATTCCACATGACAATATTTCTGGTTTCTTACTTCTTGAATATTCACCTTATTGTATGGAAATTGAAGAGGAAAGTAACAGGTACAGCTGTAAACATGTCAAAAGTAACCATTTTTTAATCTTATTTTAGGTGGCTGTAGTTAACAAATTTAGTGAAAGCAGTGGGTTAGGCATAAGCCTTGAAGCTACAGTGGGTCATCATTTCATCAGATCTATCTTACCGGAGGGGCCAGTTGGACGAAGCGGCAAGCTGTTCAGTGGTGATGAGCTGCTGGAAGTAAGAAAGAATACTATTTTATCTTAGTCTGCATTCAGTTAGATTTTTGAGCAGTGATTTGCTTCTCAGAGGTTTAGACTTTGGGAATGTAGCATATCTAGCTGTGTAGCAGCCATAACCAGACTGCTTGAGCAGTTACTTCACACATATTTGTGTGAATGCATGTGCGTACATGCATTTCTCAGATGGTAGCTGATTTTTTAGATTCAGTTCAAGGTCACCAAAAAGAATACCCAGAAAAAGCATTAAGATTTAGTGGGAATAACCCTACACATTGAAGGGACTGAACACCTGTTTACTTTTCTAAATAATTTTCTTAGGATTAAAATGTGAATTTGGTTCACATGAATACAAGAAATGTGAAGTGACAGAGTATGTGGTATTTGTAGGGTGGTGTCACACAATTTATGAGACCGTACACTCAGTTCAAAACTTATGTTGGTGCTGATTCTGAGCACTAAATTGAGAAGAACTTAAAGGTCGACAATGCCCATTAGTTTTTTTGTTCGTTGATTTTTTTTTCCTTGAAATCAGGTGATTAGTGGGTTATGTGGGTTATTTTTTGTACCCATTTTCGTTCATTGTGCTTCTAAACACTGTGTATTCTTTATTGAGGTGAATGAGATCTCTTTGCTTGGAGAAAACCACAAGGATGTGGTCAATATCTTGAAAGAACTACCTATTAAGGTGACAATGGTGTGCTGTCGTCCAGTAGCTCCTTCCATCACTCACACAGAAGTACTGGAGAGCCTAAGTCTATCTGAGGTTCAACTCACAGAAAAGGTATTTTGTCTTAAAAAAATAACTGAGAAAATGACCGTTTCCTTGAGAAAAAGCATATCAAGTTCTTGTACAAGATTAGAAATAAGTTTTAATATTTTAGGACTTGAACCAGATGAATAGAAAAAGGCAAATTATGTTCATCAACCTTACTTTAGGTCAACGAGAAGATGTCAATCCTGGTAGGCCACGGGCAGAAATATTCTGGGACACAGGTGTATCTACCCAAATACTTAACTTCTGTTCTACAGGTGGGCCGTGGGGCTGTGGCAAATGAGTGGCTATGAACTGTGTGTTCTTTAGAATCTGAATATATTTATTCAGATTTTGAACTTTGCTTTCTGGGTTTGTGTTGTGCAGAACTGTGTGCACATTCACTGGCAGATGCACTTCTGTCACTCATAAATGCAAAGGTCTGGGCAGCCTGATGTACTAAACATGTAGGAATGGTCCACCATGTAGTACGCACAGCAATAGTGTTTGTATGAAAAGAGACATGGTTAATTCTGAGTTTTGGGCAAGGCAGTAAATTCAGCTTGTTGCTAAATTTTTCTATGAAACCAAGGAGAGAGAAAAACATACATGTCTATGTATGTGTTTTCTCTTTTTAAATGTTCTGAATTCTGGCAGTGCTATTATGTTTAGGTCACAGCATGTTTTTAGACATACCGTTTAATCACAGATACTGCCTGTATATTTGAATACAGAGAGAATTTGAATTAGTTTAACATAAATTCCATTTTGTAAATATTTTTTCCAGTGCATACTTTCATACACTTGCAGCATAGCTATTTTCTTATAAAGATATGTGAATTCCGTGCTCATTTCTTACCTCTGCTGAGTGCTTGCACTTTCTCTGTGTTTAGAGAAGCATCACTTTGTTCACAAAGATAAAAACTGAGTTTTGTCTCTGCAGATTCACAAATATTCACATTTTATTGAACTTTCACTGTTTTTCTCAGGCTCATGTAGATCTTGGATTCATCGGCTCCTCGGACACAGAGGGAACAGCTTTGGAAATAGCTGATGAGGGTCAGAGTATGGAAGAGGTGCAAAGTTCATCTTTGGCGATGTGGGAAACAGAAGTACAGCACATTGAGCTGGAGAAAGGAAGTATGGGACTTGGATTTAGCATATTGGACTACCAGGTAACTTCTTTATTAGACTACAGGTTCTAGTGATAATCATAGTACTGGTCCAGAGAAATAGATAATAGGTCATATACGAGGGTGCTCAGAAAGCTCATCTGCTACTGCCTCGGGGGCAATGGAGTTAGAATATTCAGGCATTTAGCTGTGTATTTTGCACCTACAGTGAGGTGCTTAGGACAAGATCCAAGAAAGGACTTAGGTACTTAAAGCAGGATTTATTGAAATCCAGAGCTGCAATTCTGAAATCATTTGTGTAGCTACTGTCTGTCCAGGATGTGCTTAAACCTCCCATTTGTGTTTAACTCAAAATTCCCGAGCATCTCAAGCTGTGATTCTTGGTGTGTTGTTTTCGCTCAGTGCCTGTCTCCTGCCTGCACTTGGGTCAGGATACCAAAATAAATGTTCGTGTTCCCAGTTGTCACAGTGGATAGTTTTTAATCTGTTCAAATTAAGTAATTTCTCCTTGCGGTCAGTGGGGGCTTTTGTCCAGCTGTTGGTGGTGCTGAAGGGCCCTGTCTCCTCCCAGGTCTTTGCTGGATCTTGTCCCTAAGAGCATATGCATTTGCATCTGGAGGTCACTTCCAGGTGGAAATTATGCCCACAAAGCACTGCGTAGAATTAATCTATACCTTGTTAGTATTTTGCATTTGTACACTGATAAAGATGAAAAGCAGTGTAATTTAGTAATCTGAAGGACAAAGGTGTAGTCGAGTATCTGTTCTATGAAAGAGTGACTACTCTTTAATTTGTTACTCATGATGCTCTGTGATGGGACACCATAGCTCAGCCTGAGTATTTGAAGTCCACATCAGCACAAAGCAAAGCATGCTTTTGCTTCAGCCTCTTCTGAAGTATTTACACAAATGGTGGTTGCCTGTGTGGTTAGTTACTGAATTTTGTTTGTGGATGGTAATACTGAATGGTTGTAGGAAGTATCTTAGGTTGTTTTATATACTTTGTAAATGTGAGTTTGATTATATCCTACAGTTGTTGTTGGCTTTCTGAAACTTTCAATTTTTTGATGTTATAATACCTATATTCTGTCCTTTGAAATGTGGTTAAAACATTTCGTTTTGCCACTGAAGTTTCTACTTTCATCGAAGACTGTAAGTTTACAGTGAGATTTATCTTTGTATTTTGTGGTTTCCATCAAATTTTTAATTAATTTTCAATGAACAGTGATTAAAGTTAAGGACAGTTATGTTCATACTAATACATTCCTTATGTTTTGTATAATAGTAGACCTGTAGGAAAGTCTACATAATTGCTTACCTCAAGGAAGACTATCTCGTATGCTGAAGGGGTGATTTTTTTCAAAAAAAGTGTCACTTGTTGTCATCTAAATTGACAGTGTAAATACTTGTTAAAATAGCGAGGAAAATGTAAGTGTTCAGGCTTAAGCACTCTCTCCACCAAAGCTGTTGTATTTCCACTTGTGAAGTTTTTTATTGCTCCATGGCATTCTTCTTACTCCATTAACTGCCATGAAGTGTTAAGGGTCTTCTGGGTATTCTTCCCTCCCTCAGCGCCTCTCTCTCACACTAGCTTTCATCATTCTCCAAGTCCTGTGGTTTTGGGTGCTACCTTGTATGTGTGCGTCCTTTCAGATGTACATCTTGGCATAGAAATTTGTTAGAGTTGCACGCCGGTTTGTAGATGTTTGCTTTTCTCTTCCTTTTGATATCAGTAAAGCTGGTGCAATTATTACATTTCTCTTTTTTCTATGCATGCGCTCAAGTGAATTGCCATGTGTTGGAAGTATTAACATGTAATGATGTTTCTTGTGAATTCTGTAAGAATTATGCAAATATGTACATTTATGATAATGGTTATAACAGAATCATATGTTCCTGTTCTGAGTATTTGATGCTAGTGTTTTTATAAAAGTCAGTGCGTTGAAGGATGAGGACTACAAAACAATTTTCTTTTTTAAAAGCAAACACCACTTTGTTGTTGATTAGACTGCTGCATTGGTATGTTCCTGTCTCCTGTAAAGTATTTAATTAGGCATGCACAAGGACTTGCCTCTTAGAAAGTGCCTTCTCATCTGAGCAAGATTTGATTGCATGAAGTATAAGAGATTTATTGAAAATAAGCTCTTTGTTCTGCCAGAGTGCACGTGTTAACTTTGCCTCAGGCTGCACTGCCCAGCTGAATTCCCAAACCACTGAGTGTAAGGGAGGATGAAGTCTGCAACGCTGTCACTGCAGTAGGAAGTGAAATAGAATTCCTGGTGTGTAATTACTCATTACAGTATGAGCAGCACTTTGCAATTTAGCAATATTTTATTCTGAAGATAGATGATGGGAGATCACCTAGAAAGGAGTAATAATTTTCACATAAGAATTAAAAATTGGTAGAAGTCTGTAAACATATGGGCAGTATGGACAGGAGGGTATGTTTCTGCAGAGGGTTCATCTGGAGCAGAGCTCCCAACTTTTTAGTAACCCAGCTCTGTGTGAAAATTGGCCTCTCAAGACATAAAAGAGTAAATAAAATGCAATGTTTTTCTTCCTCTTATTTAATTAGGATCCTGTTGATCCGGCAAACACTGTAATTGTGATTCGCTCATTAGTTCCTGGAGGTGTGGCTGAGCAAGATGGCAGACTTCTTCCTGGAGATCGACTTATGTTTGTCAACGATATCAACTTGGAAAATGGAAGCCTGGAGGAAGCGGTTCAAGCACTGAAAGGAGCCCCAGCAGGAACAGTTAAAATAGGAGTTGCCAAACCATTGCCTGTAAGGATTTGGAATTTCAGTGGGTACTTTTCATGCAATTTTAGCTGGTCCATGATGATCCTAACTTCTGCATACACTTTTTGTGCTTTGGGGTACAGCTGGGTGGCTCAAAACGTCAAGAATCTATCTTTAACAAATTCCTGCATCTTCTTGCGTGTAGGAGTGGTCTGTGTAGTTTATGACTGTGATTATGGGACCTAGCACACCTGTTTTGCAGCTGAGAAAACAGTGAAGCGTCGCAACCAGCACAGTATTTCAGGGCTGCAAGTTGCCAGGCACAATTTTGTACACTTTACAAGATTCTCTGAATCGGTGAGATGGTGACATAAAGTCAGTTTTTTGTGGTTTGCCTTGAATTTGCCTATGCTTTTGCTTTTCAGTGAATAGTATGTATGCAGTCTTTGTATTTAGAGAGCACGCTTTGTTTAAAGAATGGTCAGTAGGCTTCATTTCATATACCTCAAACTGGTTATTTTAATGTAGCCATAAATGATTGCAGGCTTGATTTTAGAAGGTGGTCTGTAACAATTAGAAACATGAATTTGAAGGAGACTGAGATAGTTTGTCATTAAGGATGCGTTAAATTCAAATCAGTACAGTGGCATCAGTTTATACATACAAAGATGACACCTTTCACTATATTTGTAAGTCCAAGTGTGGTCTTTGGGGTTCATTTTTGCTTTTCAAGAAATGATAATCTTGTAATCCTTGTGGATGCAGATAACAGATTTTCAATCTTAGATCTTTGTGGAGAGGGTGGGAGGCAATGGCTGAGTTACTAGAAGCTTTCCTTTTTGTAGTAAAAGGGTGCTTTTTTAACTTTGTTAAATTTGGGTTTTTTTAATAGTGGAGACTGTTATGCACTGAAATGTCTTGCAAATCAACATTTTCATAGTTAAGAAGGTGTCACTCTACAAGAGAAAATTTATGGTTTTGTTGCTGTTCTCAGCATTTTGTAAACATTCATCATTTGCACTTTAATATTCCACGTACTATGCTTGCCAGTTAATTAAACGTTTTGAATGATCACTGGCTTCTTTGCAGTACTGGACAAATGCACCTAGCAGCAAATTATATTGGAAAAAGCTATTGGTTTGTAGTCAGAATTATGTTTGATCCTCTTGAGGCTGTTCTGCCCAACAGATACAATCTTAAAACACAGAGAGTGGATGCAGTCTTCTTGCCTGCTAACAATATGACTCTGTGCCAACCAAGGTTGTAGAGGCCTCTACTGTTAGACTTTTTCCCTGGTGGCAGTTTTAGTATGTGTTTAATAAGAGTAGAAATTGAAAATGAGTTTAGACTAAGCTCTGGGATCTCTGGTGTAGCTGTATAGGCATTTTTCATTACTTGGGCTTGTAAAATAAGATGTGAAGCTGAATCAATTCAGGTAAATTTGGGGGGGGCGGGGGGGAAGTCTGTTTACCTACCCAACACTGACTGTGATTGAAATGAACTCTGGTGTGTTTGGAATTCATTTACCTCTCTAAACCCACACACATAACGCACTCTGCATGCCCTGTGTCCTGGCCACTCATCCAACTCAGAGCTTCCTTCTTTCTGCAGCTTTCACCAGAGGAGGGCTATGTCTCTGCTAAGGAAGATTGCTTTTCCTACACTGCCCAGTCAATTGAGGAGGAGGGGCCAGCTGATGCAGCCCTCTTCCATGCTGAGCTGGCTCTGGTTAGTGGCCCAACTTATCAAAGATTTCTTAAGGCTTTGCATTTTGTAATGAAAGAGGTTGCTTTGTTCATGCTTATTTTTTAGTGTTTACTGTCACCACATTACTGATCCACCGTATTTGGGATGTATCCCCACATGGTAGAAGCTGGCATCTGGAGATTTTGACTGTTTGCATGAGCTGTGAATCTGGCCTATGATATTTTAGTTGCTGAAAAAAGAGAAAGTATTTAGTGTATTGCTGAGATTTTAAAAAATGCATGGCTACCCACTTCTCCTTGCATGCACCAAGTATCCTTTTGAAAATGTCACCTTTTGTAAAGAATTGTTCACGTGCTTATTTTGTAAATAAATCTCTTCGCCTATATGTCGTAATAGATCACTTCCCTACCTTGAAAAGTTGTTGGAACTCTATTTTTGCATGTAAGCCAGCCTTAAAAGCAATGCTATCTGTCTTCAAAAGCTGACTAAGCTTCCTCCTAATAGCATTCTTTAGACTTCAGCATCAGTCAGTGATTATGAGATTTGCAAGGTCAAATGCTGTTCACTTGTACAAACAATGTGGCTTACCTGAGCATTCAGTGCCTTACATAGCCCAGAAGTTACCAGTATGAACTCTGTTAAAAAATACAGAGGAAATAGGACTCTACAGAAAAAAAAAAAAAATCCAGAAACAAAACACATCCCTTCACCCCCCCCCCCCCCAAAAAAAAAAAAAAACAACACCCCACCAACAAAACCATAAAAGGAAACAACTAAGAAACAAAATATAAATATATTCTGCACGTGTCCTGGTTATTTGTACTGATCTGGGCCTTCCAAGGCAAGAATCTCTGAATTACTGATTCCAGGATGTTTGCTGTTTTTTCACGTTTGCAAATGACAAGCTGGTTTTAATAGCTTGCTTTTAAGCAAGACTGCCTGTTATTTCTTCTGCAGTTAATTACCTTGGTACAGGAGTTAGATTATAGGATTTGCCTTATTCTGTTCACTGAGAAGAAGTATGAAGAAGCCAGCAATTAAAGATGTGTTGAAAAGATCAGATGAAAACTTGGGTATTTAAAAATTTGACTTCTATCTGTGATTTATTAAAAAAAAAAAAAAAAAAAAAAGAGCAATGAAAATGTATGGCAGGTAGTAATATGGTTAAATTGTCAACTCTCTCAATTGTCTAATTAAATGTGCAAAATATGAAATTTAATGTGCAGTTACTCAGTTGAAGGTGTTTTTGCAGAGTGCACTGATGAGATCCTGCTTTTCATACAGAAACTTACACTCAGATTCTACAGATCTGTCTCCGTTTTTCACAATCCTTCTTTTTGTAGGGCATAGCTTTGGTAACACTCATTTGCATTTTCCAGAAGATAGACTGAGAGTAAGCTACACAAAAGGAGCAATTTGAATTAGCTGTTGAATATTTAAGTTTGAGACAATAAAAAATGGATCTTTTGTACTCCAAAAAGGAATCAGTATGTTGAATCACTGCAGATTGTTGCTATTGCTGTTGTGAATCTGACATAATGAATTCATATCATGATTAACTGCATGGGTGCACTTGACTGCTACATACAAGTTTACAATGTGGTCATGGCTCTGAACTCAGTGATCTTTTTTTTAGCATACGCTACTTTCTTGAGCTCTGCCACAGGAGATGACATTATAATCAAAATTTATGTGAAGCACCATAAATTAAGTCTTTTAGGACTTAATTTTATTCTAGTATTTTAAAGTGTAAGAGTCTTTAAAAAAATTTATTTCATTTAAGAAAAAAGAAAAGTGAAAAATACTGCCTGTGTCCATGTCTGGAACTCTTTAAAAAAAAATAAAAAAAATTACTTCTCATGAAAGATAGGAGAATTATCCCTATTAATCTCGTTGTCAAATGTAAAATATTTTTGAAATCATAAAAAAATCATGTCATAAATGTTTCTTATAAATGTATTGGAAAACATTGCAGTTTCCAGAAGATTATTTTTTATACCTATGAAGTTGGGTGGAGGAAGCATTCCTGACAGGTGGCACTAAGTGAAGCTTATTATTTTTTAAGTGCTAATTCTAGTAAAAGAAAATTTTAAAAAAAGCCCTAAACAAAACAAAATTTTGATGCCAGGGAGTACAACAGAGTTCTCCCAACACCTCATTTTCCTGTTGACAGGCATCAGCCTGCCTCAGCCCTGCAACCCATTCCAGTTAAGACTCTCAGCTTACTTCAGATATTCCTTGCAACTTCTGAAGATGTAGTGACGTGAATTGTAACTGGAAGCTGGAATTTTTCCTACTGTGTTATGCAAGTGTAACTTTAATGTAAAACATGGAAGGAAAAAAAAACCCCAAAAACATGTCAGTCAGCATGTAGTGTCTGAAGTGCATGTGTTCGGGCTTATGTTGCGTGAAGGTGACAGATAGCCTGGCTGATTGAATTGCTTTTGTTGTTAGGTGGACTCCAACGAGGCAGATCTAGCGGATGAGTCCACATTTGAATCGCAGTACTCTCTAGAGAGTGACATCTTCCAGGCTTCAGTGATAGCTCTGCATGGCAGTGCCTGTAGCGATGAGCTGAACTACAGCTTCTCTCTTCCATTGTCAACTCCCAAGGTAAAAAGGAGGATGGTTTTATTGATGACAAACTTTGATAAGGCTGTATTATTAGATATAAATGTTTTATGTCATCCTGGTTTAAACTACACTATTTGTTACTGGGTTAAAGTGCAGTTTTGTTTAGACTAGTGCTGTTGTCTTTCACACATCTGTGTTGAAGAGAGAGGAAGCTAAAAGGTTGGAATCTTGGATTTGTGTTTTGTATAGCCAGATGAAGTATGGTGAGATATTTGTAGTGTGAAAACCGCGGTGAGCAGTCTGCTACAAAAACTTAATTGTTACTACTTCAGAGCATATTAAAGAGTGCTAGCACAAAATAACTGCATTATTCTGCAGTATTTTAGGTAGGAAAAGCAAGAGTAAGTTTTCATCCCAAGCTTTGCTTTTATGCTTCATAGTTAGTATGTTTGCTATTTAAGTTACTGTGTTCTTAAATGAAATGTTAATAATGATACTGTAATTAAAAGTAAATCTGTATATATCAAACCTCTGATTACTAATAATTTCTCTTAAAGCTAGTAGCTGAAGTTAAGTTCTTTAAGAATATTACAAAGATCAGTATCCTTTTTCTTGCTGGTCATATACGAACAATTAGGTCATTATGAGTATCAGAGTTAGTGTTTTGTTTCTCCGTGGTTTTTCTCGCTCCTTTTTCTTGGGAATCTATAGATTTATTTTGCTAATCTAGAGTCTTCCAAATAATGTCTCCTAACAGTTGTCTTTGAAAGCAACATTGTGGGGATTTCTTCCAGGGTTTGCAGTCTGTGGTCTTGAATAGAGTAGCTGCTGCTTTGTCCTCCACACCTGAGCTGCAGTAACTCCCTTTTATCCCTTCTGGAATATGTTCAGCCCTTACCAGGCACTTGTTGGAAAGCTGAATTCATTTTCTAATGGTTTCTGCTAATCCACAGAAGAGCATATATCTGCTCTGCCAGTGGGACAGATTGCATTGTTTACCTCTGTAATTGTTACTTAAATGGATTATGCATTTTGCATGTTGAGAAGCATTTTATGAGATGAAGGCTGGGTTTTCAGTATATATAATCTTGAGGCTCTAGAAAGTCTTAAGTTACTTTCAGCAAAGACTTAAAGATTGCTTTGGTTTACTTGGTTGTTTTTTTAAAGATTATGATCCTGACTTTTCAGTGATCCTCTCTGTGCACCAGTATGAAGTGATAATATTAAGTTATAATCAAGTAACATTTTATACTCAGCAGTTACAAGTGACTACACAAAGTAGCAAGAAAATCTGTTCAATAAAGGAAGATTTTTGAAGCAAGTGAAATGCAGTGAAAATGAAAAAACTAATACTAAATGCTATGAGGAATGCAGAGGTATTTCAGCTATTTTTGACTGCAAGCAGTTGACAGGTCCTTAATGCCTTTGATGTCACTTTTAAAACAGGTGATAAAAGAAATACTTGAAGTAATGTAAATGCTCTAATGAGGCTGCATATTGCTGTAGTTAAAAATTCTTGAAATTGTGGTTATCTTCAGAAATTAAAGCATTGGCTTTTCTTTAAGTGAAACAAAACGAAAAATGGGCATATGCTGCACCTCTTAATGTGTATATATTGTGGAATTTATTATGGAATAAATGTTGAGTATGATCTGGGTCTTGTTTTCACTGATTTGGAAATGGATACAAAACAGACTTAAAAGGAGATATCCTAGCTTTCTTGAAACCTAGTGAAATAATTTAAATAGATTATAGTCCTGGTATTCTGTTCTGCAAAAGTTAGGAAATTATTTCATTGATACATCATGCAGATTAGTTGCATTTAAGCTTTGCTCAGTTATCTTTTCAGATGTTACTTATACCAGTTTTTTACAGATGAACCTTTTTGTTCATTATCTGGGGACAGCGCAGGTGTGTATGCACTTAATGAAAGATGAGAGAAACTAATTCTAAGGCCCTTGATACAAAATGATGGAAAATATCCTGAAATCCTGTGAAACACGTTTTCCCCACTGTTTGGAAAATGATAGAAGAATTAGTAGGACCAGTGAATAACAACTAAGACAAAGGGAAGATGTTCTTCTGACTCCATTGACTACATGTCAGGAAAATCCCTTATGTTGATATAGAGCCTCTTAAGTCCAACCTCTTAAGTCCTTTGTATATCATCCTAGTATCTATTCACATACATGTTTTTAAAATTACTTATATTTGAAAACTCAGCTAAAGAATACTTGAAGATTTTTTTCAGAAGGCTGTGATTATTGAAATCCCTTAAAATATTTGAAATGCGGGACCTTGGAATCTTGAAAGTCTGAACAAATTTTGTGTAGAGAACTTAATCCTAATACTGCAGCCATAATAGGTACACTTGCAATAAGTACTAACTGCTGAGCTTTTCTAACTGCATTATTTTATTCCATTGTTGTCACAGTTCAAAATCTCCATGTTCATTTTGTGCTAAGATTTGACTGAGTTTTTTACTTTTCCTTCTTTGTGTGGAAGGGGTATCTAAATATGTTTCTCCTCAGTTAATTGGGTGATTAGATGGCATGCTTATTGTCTAAGAAATTGCTATTTACTTGCTAAGTGTTTTGAAAGTAAAGACCTTGGTCTTGCAAAGTTCTTCTACCTGAGAAAGACAATTGGATGCTTTAATTTTAATAATTTGCCAAAACTTTGTCTAGTTTGAGAATGTATGAGTGGATGTTACTTTGCTAAAATTAGTGGAGATTTATTGTTGAGTACCAAATTAGAATTTGGCCTTCAGCAGTAACTTTATTTTCATTAATTTCTGGTACTTCAAAGGAGAAGAAATTGTCTGAGGAATCAAGTAAATTTTATAGTAAAATGCCTGTAGGGTTCTACTGAAGACACTGATGTTACAACAAATATGCTTAAATTCTTTGAGATTAGTTTCTGTTTAAGATTTTAGCATGAAATTTCCTTTTCAGTTATACCACAAAAAAGTATTGATTGTTCATTGTCTCCTGTGTTCAGCAGTCTGTTGGAGAGGAATGTTCAAATGCCGCAACTGATTTCCAAGTATCTGACAAGAATCTTTACAACATGGATCTGAGTCAGAGAGTGAGAGAGCAAAAGTTTGTAGTGGGCAATAGCCTGGAAACTGCAACTGATTTTCCTGAAAAAGATCTTCTGCCTCTGGATGTTTCGGATATCAACCAAAATGAAAGTGAAGACACAGCAACATGGACTGGATCTCAGATAACAGCAGAAATTGCACTAAGTACAAGCCTCACTACTACCATGCAGCTTGATCCCACTGGAAAAGTAAAGATTTTTTTCTTTTTTTTAAGTAATAATTAAAAAAACCTATGGAAAGGCTATATTAAAGTGTAGAATCTGCTACAGAAATTGTCAGGGGGGAGCAATGTGAAAGACTTGCGTTCTGGTGTTTGCGCAAGCCTGTGCCGTTCAGCTCACAAACTGCCCCGTGATGCCACAGTGTGCAAACATAATAATTCCTTTATATGACAGTCACAGTGACATCTGTATATTTTTTCCTTCCATGCAGTGATTTTTTTAAGAAGTTCTTAAGAGCTGTAATTTCTTACAAGATTTGTTACTTTAGCACTGGCAGATTGTCAGACATCTGTGGTGAACAAGTCTGAGAGCCCTTGAATTCATCCCACTAATTTTAAGAGTGCAACTGTGTCCTTAAATGAAAAGCATTCTTTTTGATAGATGTGTTATATTACCTGAATGAAAACTGAAACTTCATGTATGTCAGTTTGATCTTTGATGGGCTGACTTTTCCAGTGTCTGTATAAGGATTCTGTATAATTAGGCGCCTAGCTTTTGTATAAGGTAAGATGAGTTAAGGTCAGTTTGTCCAATCATATTTTTATCTCTGTTTTCTGAACTGATGTTATTTTCCTTTGTGTTAGAATCAAGTGCTTTTAATGGAAAAGAGATGCCCAGTGTCTTTGGAGGGAAATTCTACAACCCCAGATTCAGTCAAAAACATGTACGAGAAGACTATCACTATTGCAAAAGGCAATTCAAGTCTAGGTAAGGTAGCTGACATTTTTTGTAGCCTATTCAGTAACATGGCATTTTGTATTTCTGATATGTTTTGTATTTTATTAGTTAGGACTAAACATTTTCCTTTTAGTGGGAAAAGCATAACACGCTATTCATTCTTTGCTTCTCTTACCTTGTTTGGCTGTGATGGCAGTGGATCCATTAACTGTCACTGTGAACACAAAAGTAGTGTCCAGTCTCACTGAGATTTATTTTTTTTTTCCCCATAAAGGAATTTAATCATTATGGAATTACGGAATTATAGACTCATAGAACGATATAGGTTGGAAGGGAAGTTAAAGATCATGTAGTTCCAACTCCCCTGCCATGAGCAGGGACACCTTCCACTAGAGCAGGTTGCTCAAAGCCTCATCCATCCTGGCCTTGAACACTTCCAGGGAGGGGGCATCCGTAACTTTTCTGGGCATTCTGTTCCAATGTCTCACCACCATTGCAGTGAAGAATTTCTTCCTAATATCTAATCTAAATTTTCCCTTTTCCAGTTTATATCCATTACCCCTTGTTCTGTCATTAACTGCCCTTATGAAAAGTCGCTCCCCAGCTTTCTTGTAGGCCCCCTTCAGGTACTGGAAGGCCGCTATAAGGTCTCCCTGGAGCCTTCTCTTTTCCAGGCTGAACAGCCCAAACTCTCTCAGCCTGTCCTCATAGGAGAGGTGCTCCAGCCCTTGGATCATCCTTGTGGCCCTCCTCTGGATTCACTTTAGTAGGTCCATGTCTTTCTTATTTTGGGGGCCCCAGAACTGGACACAGTACTCCAGGTGAGGTCTCATGAGAGCAGAGTAGAGGGGCAGAATCACCTCCCTCGACCTGCTGGCCACGCTTCTCTTGATGTTGCCCAGGGTATGGTTAGCCTTCTGCAAGCAAATTGCCAGTTCATGTTGAGCTTCTCATCTACCACCACCCCCAAGTCCTTCTTCTCAGGGCTTTTCTCGATCCATTCTCCACCCAAATGTTAACAGAACTATTCTAATATGTTGTTTTTTAATGTCTGTATGTTTATATAATGTAGTGGAAAAAAACAAGATAGAGCCAAGGAATGCTGAGGAACATTTTGGTTAAAGAGCTGCAGACTAGACTTTCCAAAGTACATAAACACAAAATGATCCTGCTTTCTGAGGATGGTCAGAAGGGTCTAAACAAGCTGTTCAGTTCCTTCCTAAGTATTTGAACTTGTATCTTAAATGCCTTGGTATTTCTGAAAATCAGGTCATGGATACATTTAATTTGTAGTATTTTTAGCTCAATGATATTACAGTTTTGTAGAGAAATTCAGAGTTTTAAATATCTGCAGTCTGTAACTTCCTGCACATACTGAGGCACATCTTGGAGCGAACAGGCACAGCAGATGTTTTTTGGTGTCCTCCTGGTCTCTAGTGTGGCCCTGGGCAGTGTGAGGGGGAGCTTGACAATGGTGCTGTGATGCTGTATTTAGGGTGTGCTTCCACCTTCAATAAACTGCTGTCTGATGGCTGGATGCTCAGTCTGCCCCATATCACCTTCTCCTTCATGATGCAGCCAGCCTCCAAACTGTATCAAGAACTGATATGGTTTAAAATCAGCCTCCCCAAAGTATGAAGCTGCAGGCAAGGCTGATATGGGTATAAGTTTTGACTTTAATTGGTATGAGATACTTGGGTAACTGCTGCCTTTACTGGCCTGATTACCAGGCTGTGTAAAGTGCAGGTCACAGTGCACTTCCTGGCATTTAGATTTTGTTAAAAACGTTTTGTTTGCAATAACTTCTTAACTTAATGGAGCAGTGCTCCTCGTGTATGTCTATGAACATTTGAAGTGCAGTGAACATACCAAGCAAATTTAATGTCAAGCATAATACAGCAAAAAATATAAACTTGGAGCAGGGTGCGCATTGGCAGACATTACGTGCATGAAGAGTAAGACAGGCTTCTCGTGTACATAGTACAAATGTGAATAATGCTTTCTCCTAGCTTTTCACTGTGGTCTTTTTCTTCCAGCCTGTGTGTGCGCTCTGGCCTGCGAAGCTGCCTGGGCACAGTGACCAATTTATACACATGACTGCACTGCTTTTAACTTTGATTTTTATAAAAGGAGGTAAATCGAGAGCTGTGAATGATGTTGAAAGCTGCAGCTGCATCAATTATTTCAGTTTAGAACTGGCACTTCTTTTTTCCTTTTAAATAGTGTCACCCATAGCTTGGAACAGCTCTTCAAATCCAGCCACAGCTGGAGCTCTAACCTTTTGATTATGATTTTTAAAAGGTGAGGTGGTGGAGCACCCACGTACAAGAGGAGCTGAAATGCCATTGCCCTGTGTGATTCATTTGGCAACTCAACAGTGGTATTTGCATTTTTAACCCAAAACTGTAGCTGTCTGAAATGTGACATCAGTCTTGCAGATCTGTTGTAATGAGGATGTCAGTGTAGAAGCTAAAGGTGATGTTTTTCTGGAGTTCTGTTATGCTAGCCTCAGTAATACTTTTGTTTGTTGCTGGCTTAACGAAGCAGCAAAGTTAAGTTCAGAATTTTAAACCACATTTTAGCTGTTTCCTTGGCAGTTTGCTTTTCTGTGCCTGCTGCCTGCATTCTGGTGGAGACCAGTCTGTTGCAGAGTTGTGTTTACGTTCAGATCTGACTGAGTAACCTGTGTGAGCAGATCTGTCATGAGGTGGTTGTTGGAAAGAATATGTGAGTGGGGGAACCACCCTAGGACAGCACCTGTAAATGCCATCCATGATGTGCTCAGTGTTGTAACATTACTAATCTAAGGGGTAGGTGACAGGCAGGTTACATCTAATTTCTCTAATAGCAAGGCAATAAATCAGAGGCACTGTGTGGGTGTAGCACTGGTCTGATGCACCCGTATTTAAATTATGACTGACCACAGCTGCCATCATTACCTGGAAAATCATAAATATAAATCTCCAGTCAATGGTAACACCATATTCTTTCATCAGTTTAATGTAAAGTACCATCATGATGATGGGTTTTGCAGTGTTTCAGAAAGATAAAACTTGACTTCCACATGCCAAAATAGAGGGGTACATGTATTCCTGTGTCTAAGAGGCTTATTGGGCCTTGATAGTCAGGGCCATCTTCTCATACTTTAGACAGCTACTTGGGTTGCAACTACAAGTGGGTATGAGGAGCCAACACTATTAAGAAATTTTTATTTTCTGGAAGGAGTCCTAAAAAGCACAAATGAATAGCCAGATTAGTGTTGTTCTTTAAATGGTTACAGTATTTTATTTTTCTCTCTGAGACATATATATAGGCAGGTTTTTGTATGATTGACAGAGTCTGGATAGCCTCGGGCTTACATCTGCCTTCTAAACTCTGTTCAGCCAGTCTGTCTCCCAGGGTCTAAGGTCACAGAGTAAAGCTTCAGTCTCTGTCCTCTGTAGGACAGAGTTTGTATAAATGGTTAGATTTTTTTTGTAGTCAGTGTTCTTGGAGGGTTTGCTCTGGGTAGCTATCATCTTCCTTCCACTCACAGTCTGGACAATAAAATAAGGGCTTGCAGGCACACAACTGCATTCCCAGTGCTTGCTAGCCTGATGTTTACATGCAAAACCAGGAGGACACATAGGGGATTAGTCATAGCATCCCTTCTCCAATAGATATTCCTTTATAAGGTGCTCTTATTTCAGTGGCTTAATCTCGTTAATAAAGGAAAGCTTTCATGTTAGTGTACAAAAAGAATAAAACCAAGTTTGACAGTATTAAGATAGTGGAAGTCCACTGGATGGACTTCCAAGGTGCTGACCCATCAGCTACCTTTCCATTGCATTGATGACGAACAATTTTTCCTGAAATTGTTGTCAGGCTTGATTTAATGAGAATCAACTACCCTGAAAATAAGAGTGGCAACTCATGTCTGGGCAGAAAAAAACTTAATGAAATATAA